GATCGTATGCCTTTTCAATATCTAGCTTGCAAAGAACACCCAGAACACCGCTGCTCAAGCGGGAATCAACACATTCACTAGCAATAAGAACTGAATCCGAAATCTGCCGACCTCCCACAAATGCATTCTGAGAGTCAGAAATGACACCATCCATCACCTTCTTCAACCTAGAGGCTAAGACTTTCGCAATCAACTTGTAAAAACATCCCACCAAACTAATAGGGCGGAAGTCTCTAACATCCATTGCCTCTCCCTTCTTTGGAATAAGAGCAATAAAAGTTGCATTCAAACTTTTCTCAAAAGAGCCCTGTACATGGAAGGCATGAAAAGAGCCCATCACCTCCTCACGGACCACCTCCTAACACTCCAAAAGGAACCTCGTAATAAAACTATCAGGTCCAGGAGCTTTATCCCCATTACAGCTCTTCAGAGCAGAGAGAACTTCCTCTTCTGAGAAAGGCTCTTCCAGAACAGAGCACTCCTCTCCCGAAATAGAATCAAAATGAAGCCCATCAAGCAAAGGACGCCGATCGGCTGACTCAGTGAACAACTTCGAAAAGTACTCATAAAAACTCTTACAAATCTCCTCCTCTTTACTAACCAACACCCCATCCGCCCTTATCCTCCCAATGTGGTTGCCCCTTCTGTGAGCATTGGCAAGTCTATGAAAGAATTTAGTGTTATTGTCACCTTCCTTAAGCCACAAAGCTCTAGATTTTTGTCTCCATGAAATCTCCTCCATGACAACAATCTCAGCAAACTCTGCTTGACACTCCACCCTCCTCAGCTTCAAAGGACCCGTCAAAAGACCCTAATTCTCCATCTTATCAATGTCAGCAATCACAGAGAGAACCCGATTCTTTCTCCAGACCAAATTACCAAAAACCTCTTTGTTCCAGACTTTGAGATCATTCTTCAAAAAACGCAACTTGCCTGCCAAAGAATGACTCGGAGTGCCAACCACTCCATACCTCGCCCACCAGGATCGGACTCGCTACAAAAAAACCTTCACCCCAGAGCCACATATTCTCAAATCTAAATGGGGATCTTCTGTTACGCAGCCCGCCATAGTCCAACAACAACGGAACATGATCAGACAAAGGACGAGCCAAGGTGGTCTGAACTACATCAGAAAACTTGTCCTCCCAATCACTCGACACCAAGAATCTATCAAGATGAGAAAGAGTAAGAACGTCCATTGGACCAAGTGAAAGGCCCACCCACCAAAGGCAAATCAAGCAAACAGCAAGCATCAATAAACTCTAAGAAAGCCATCAAATCAGCTGTCCATTTGCCCCCTGTCGATCTCTCAAAAGGGGAACATACAACATTGAAATCCCCCCCGATACACCAAGGCAACGACCATCGTTTACGAATCTCCCCTTGCTCCTCCAAGAGCAAATGGCAATCACAATCCTCCGTAGGCCCATAGACTCCAGAAAAAACCCAACGAAAGCCATCCTCCACCATGGATAGAACACAGGAAGCCGAGAAACGCCCAACCTGAGAGACCAACAAAGAGATCCAACGGACATCCCACATGATTAGGATACCACCCGAAGAGCCAATCGCATCCAAGGCACACCACTCCACGGATCTCCCACCCCACAAACTTCGAACAATCACATCCGTCATGGAAGCAATCTTGGTTTCTTGAAGACACACTAGATGACCGCCCGCTTTCCGAATCACCGATTTCACCACTTTCCTTCTAGCCGGGTGGTTGAGACCCCGGACATTCCATGAAAGAATTTGTAGCTTCATAGGGAAACAGTATTGTTGACCGTCTCACCCCTCCTCCCACTGGCCCTCTCCCTAGCCCCCCTCCTCCTCCTTTCATAAGTAACAAGAGTCGAGGGACTTGGAATCCCTATCTCCTCTCTCACCACTGGAGTACTCCCCCTACAATCCATTATATCAGCAAACTGAGCATTAAGAACATCAAGGAATAGATTTGTCGCCTCCTCCATCCGACCCTCAAATGACACACCCAAAAGAGAACCTATCTCTACTCCATTTTCTTTCATCCAATCATTCTCCAAATCAGCCAACCCTGCATCAAATCCCCTCCCTTCCGCAGAATTCCCTTCTGGTCTAACAACTGCCAAAGGTGTAAGCAAATCAAAATCAGACTCGCATCCGTTCCACAAAACCATGCCCGCATCCCCATGAACAGAGGAACACGACCCATCCTCCCCATACTCAACAAATGACATAGATGGAGAGCTGCTAGAAAGTGGGGTTCCAAACACCTCATCAGCCAAACGATCATTCTGGTCAGTGATAGAGCCCTTCGACACAAGTTGAGCTCTCAACTCGTTCAAGAGCACAACAGCTGAAACATCATCAATCCTTATCTTCACATCCCGACCCCCACACATGGTAATTCCGTCACTGCTAACATCACACAACCGAGAAGAACCCATCTCAAAACCACCGTCGTCACCAGGTCTTTTCTCAAGAACAAGCACTGGCTCCCTTTCAAAAACCAGAGACAAGCATTTTGACACAGAAGACACCACTCCCTTTTTCGGCACCAAGCTCCTTCGAGACACCCCGCAAGGGTGAAAAGAGGAAGAAGGGAGAGAAGGAGAGTGATTAGGCGAAACAAAATACATACCCGATCCAGAGGCGAACTGCGAAACCAGAATCCACTTCTGCTTTTCCTTTCTAGACCATTTTTTGCGAACAGGGGGAAAAATCACTTTCTTCTTCATACGGTGTCCCCGCATCTGCCCCTTAGAACGCCGATTTCTTCTAGAGCCTTCAGGGAAAGCTCTAGACGGATGAATGTCGATGTCTTCCACAGCATCACATAAAGTCCCATACCGGTTGCCCAAAACTGGCCCAGAAGAAACATTAATAGAACCCGGTCCTTCCTTCAATTCACAACCCAAGTCAACGGGTCCTTGGCCAAGACATACAACTTCCAATGATTGGGCCGCTCCACCTCCATCCGGGCCACCAGATGACAATTTACCTTCATTAATCAGGCCAGGCTTGCCAACCACAGGCCCACAAGAAGAAAGTGAGTTGGATCCAGAAGCCTTAACCCTCAGCCCATTATTAGGCCCAGCCACCGACTTAAATCCAAAATCTGCCTTGCTATTATTTGGAGCCCAAGATTTTGAAATAAAAGTTGATGCAGCTGTCATCCACTTTGAACGGCCAAAGCCTCTGCGCCAACCACGTGTATGGCCGTCAATGCTCCCCCTCCCACGCGCTTGATTGACGTGAGAAACACCATGAAGACGCTCCTTTCTCCACATCTGCATGAAAGCCGGCCGGCCAAACCCGATAAGACCACCATCCTTATGCCTTTCCCGGGATTTCTCTTGCCGTCGAATATCAGTTCCATCCAAGTAGCCTTCTTTCCTTCTCAGAGTGAATAATCTTCTAAAACATTCTGAGTTTCGCTTCCATAAATCGTCCCTCCATTCCTCCCATCTCTGAAACTCAGCCAAACCTTTCTTCCCGAAAGAGTTAAGAGTCCCACCTTAACCATTCTGTCTCCTTCAGCAGGTGTGAACCATCACCTCCTTCCAAACTATCCGTTGTCGGTACAAGCTCAGGAGGCTTCTCTTCCCACACCTTCACTTTTTAGTAGAGACGATCTTCGTGGATGAAAACAAAAGGAGGACAAACCTTACTGTCGAACACTGTTATGCGAACCCTTTCAGCGTCAATTACTTCATCGGCATCCACCCATATGAAACCACCGCATAGATCACCGACCATAACAAACAGGGCATGACTCCAAAGATGGAGAGGGAGACCATACAACGTCACAATCTTCAGGCCCTTACCCTTCAACACCTCGGAACACCCCACCCTAAAACTCCAAGATTCCATTCGTAGTGTGGCCGTCCCCCAGATACGATGACCTTCTTTAAGCACATGAGAAGCCTCCTTCGCAGAAGGAAAGCGAAATAGCAGCAAAGAATCCGGTAGAGGTGAGATCACAACACCGGAAGAAACCTTCCAAACACGAGAAGCCCAAGCCGCGATTTGAGCCCTATCATCCACATCCTTGTCGAACTTGCCCACCAAACACGATTGAAGGTCCTCTCTTCTTCTTTCAACCGAATCATTATCCAAAAAAAACGAATGCCCTCGATAAGTGTTTGCAGATCTAACAGTTCCGCCTTGAAACAGACGGGGTAACCTCGCGACATCCAAGAACGACCTCATTCTATATAGTCTAATTAAAACATCCCTCTTCTTTTTCTCTTCTTAAATGAGAGAATTATTGTTGTATATTGTTAGTCATTGTGTATTGGAAGTTTTGATTCTTCATGTGATATTAGTCCTATATCATAGAATCCTGTATTAAAATATTTATCTATTATTTTGCATGTCCCTGCTGTGTCTGTGTCGTGCATCCACATCGCTTCTGTGCTTCTTACTTCGAGTCATGGTGATTCATTCAATCCAGTAGTTGGCAAAAAAGTTCTGCTGGACAGGCCTCATACATTAACCATGTTTCAGTTGCTGTGAAGGGTGCAATGTTTCTTGTAGTGCTTGGTAGAAATACTCAGCTATTGTCGCGTAGTCAATCTCACTGCTGGAAAAGCTTCATTCAGTGGTGGATCTAACCCCTAGTAAATGCACCATGTTGAAGCTTCACTTACAACATAGTGCTTCTTACTACATTTTTTTTTTTTTCTCACTTTGTCCTTTCTCCCAGCTTCATTCTTTTTCATTTAATTTCTGTCATACTCTGTCATTCTCTTAGTTACCAGTAATTGCACCATTTATAGCATATTGTATGTTGTAGTACATGACAGAAATACTATATTTTTCTTGTATTTTGTCCTTCTTTCTCTCAGCTTCCTATTCTTTGTCATTCTCTTAATAGCTGTTTCCATTTTGCCTAGTGAACCATAGTTTTGGTGTGATAATCATAATATATATATATCCAACCCCATCATATTTTGTTTACTTCTTTTTTTTTTGTCCCTCACAACATCATAATCTTTTAATATGGTCATTTTATTTAGGGGCATCTCTTGCTGTAAATTCTTCATGGGAGAACCCTTCTGGGGAATGGCATGTGGGTTATAAATTAGTATATGAGCTTTTTACAAACACATTGACTTCTCGTTTGAAGGTAAGCCTTCTATTTATATATTGAATAGATTTTTTGGAGTGCAATCTTTATCTAAGTTGAGGGCGACCCTTGGGGCAACGGTAAGGTTGGTCCATTGTGACTTGGAGGTCTTCGAAACAAGGAAACAGCCTCTTCGCGGACCGAGGCAAGGCTGCGAACGTCTAACCCTCCCAGACCCCCCAATGGCGGGAGCCCTTGTGCACTGTGTTTGCCCCTTTTTTTAATCTTTATCTGAGTTCTCACTAAAATTTACTCATGAACACACTTTATTTTTGCCTTAACCTACTTCTGGACAGAAAGAACGAAAAAAGAAGTGGGATGAGAAAAATCAGGAAGTGATAGCTGAGGCTGTAAAGCATCTTGATGAATTTGACAAGGTACAGTAATGTCGCTTGTTATTTTCTTTGTTAAAAATATGTTTATTATTGATGTATGGATATCTTATTGACACTTCACATTTTTTTATATTTTAGTTAATTATTAAATGCACTCCGGAAAAATATTGGCTTGCCATTATAGAAAAAAGAAAAGAAAAAAAATTGATTATTACTCTTTTTTCAAAAACCTCTATTCTAAGTGAATGCCTAAAATTGGCTTTGTTTGCTTGATGTCCTCTCTTCTAAATCAATGTTTTTCATGGCCCTTTCAATGAAAGAAAAAAAAAAAAAAACTGATTTACTTAAAACCGGCAATTGACAAAACCTCAAATGTAGCCGATAATTTTGTGAGTGTATATCTGAATGCTCCATATTCCTGCTTCTTGATATGTTGGTCGCTGGCATGGTTTTGTTTCAACATGCTTATGTTGCAAGTGCTATTATCCTTTTTCCTGCATATAATTTAGAATGAATTACTTCTTTCCAGAAGCACATAAAGGTTGAGGATGCTAACTTGAAAAGGGCTCGTGAAGACCTCCAGAACAGAGTTGATTTTCTACGAAAGCAAGCTGATGTCAGTGCCAGTTATCTTGGATTCCTTATTTTTTTTCCCTTCCTCTTTTTTGGCATTTGTATTGTTTCTCTTGGGGGCCATTGCTTTGTGTAATTGTAGAAGAATGAGCTGAGAAGCTTGAGAATGTGGTTCGAGTTTGAGAGTAGCCACTTTGTGTGAAATAAGGCCAGAGTGCCTTCCGAAAACCCTGCATAGGGATCAGCACTGTGTAATGGCCTTCACCTCTTCTACTGTTTTTTCTTATCAGTAATCTTGTATATGTTTTAGAGCTACGACGACAAGGGGCCTGTTATAGACGCTGTTGTGTGGCATGATGGAAAAGCATGGAGGGCTGCTCTTGACACTCAAAGTCTTGAGGATGAAACAGAGTGTGGGAAACTTTCCAACTTTGTACCTCTAACTAATTATCGGTATGTGCCATCTTCTACTGACAATGTTATGCAATTGGAGAATTTTACATTCAGTCTGTCCCTGAGGTAGAATGATGACAAAATGTTGAAAAAAAGACCATAAACCTATCTTTCTTGTTGGGAAATTGTAATGTCGTTCCTATGCATGTTTGAGCTAATTCTTGGAGTGGTCATTGGTGATGACTGATGGTGCTGCAATGCAGTTGGAGGGGTGTGCCCTTCTGGTTGTGTTAAATATGTATAATCTGCTATATGATATTTAACACTGAAAAGCTATGGCTTGAAGGTGAAGACAAGGAATGTGTGAATTAGTCACTTAATTTTTTTTTTTCTTGGTCTTCATTTCAATTATGGATGTGGAAAACCTACCTCTAATATAAATCCCCCCCCTTTTCCTTTTTTTGATTTTTTTATTTAAGCTTTGGACTGAATTATACTTGTCAAAGGAAAATTATAAGCGTTTAATTGTGTTTGTGTGTTGATTTTATTATATTCATTTGGATATAAGGTGAACCTTTATTGATTGAAGGATGTGTACATATGTTGATGAGGTCTTGCAGGAGGGAACAACATTAACAAACGATAAAAAAACCACAATAGTAAAACGCATTGTAACCTGAACCCTGTCCCTGAAGCAAAATGGGTAGCGTGCATTCAGAAAAGGTTCTTGTGTATTTATATCACTGAATCTCCCTGTGTTCTTGTTATTCATGTAGGTGGGCATTCTGTGAACCTTGATCTACCATTTATCTATCTAATATAATGGAGATACGTGAGAATGGATGCACGTATACACATGCACAGAATGCATACGGGTTATCACAATAGCTAAAAACAATATATTAGGCTTTGAAGTTAGATATCAATCCCTATGGAGATTTGATGTATTCCTTTTTTCGGCTTTTGACTAATAGATGATAATCCTGTGAGATTCCATCTGTAGTATAAGATTGAATATGTACGTGCACAAGCTTTTTCAGTAGTGATTTACTAGATTTGCTCAAAAGCATTACGAAAATGTACCTTATGTCATGTTTCTCTTGGTTTTCCCCCTTTCCCATGTAAAGATTTTTGTGTTAGAATATTTATCTATTCTCCCTATTTTAAGTCTTTTTGTCACCTTATTTCTTTACTTGTATGCTTAGTGTGTTTTTGTTATGCAAAGAGGCAGTACTGTTTCGATATCAACTATTGTAGAAATTTTTCTTTTTTCTTTCTTTTTTTTTTTTTTTGGTGTATAGTATACACCTTACAATAGGATACTCTTATTAGGGGTTAGGTTTCGTGTTCATTTGAGCCTAGTCCTTGTGTTGAACTATATTGTGTCAACATCTTTATTGGCTTGCTTTTAGTCAGTTAATTTGTTCACGTGGATTGCCTATTTGTGAGACGCCACACATTAGGGGGAATGTTGAATTATTACATCTTTCTCTACCAAGTTAAGCTTTTAGGGCAAGTGGTTGTTTGCCCAATGTACATTGGTGAGTGATGTTTTTCACCACAAATTGTTTACTATGAATTGTTCAATAATTGAGTTATGCCGTACCTGATTAAAACATTGTATCCAATGTACATTGGTGAGTGATGTTTTTCACCACAAATTGTGTACTATGAATTGTTCAATAATTGAGTTATGCCGTACCTGATTAAAATATTGTATGTGTTTTCTTACTGCTTACTTTAGGAGGATATGAATATGGACTAGAAGTCTGTTAGTTGTTAGATGGACTAGAATCATGCCATATAGACAAAAATATATTCGTTGCTTTAAATGGTTTATATTTTTGATAGCTGAGCTCTCTGCTTGACAGAACAGTGAATTTAATTTGTGGGATAAGTGTTGCTTGATTTTGAAATATATCTTTGCAATTTTTTGCGTTCAAACACAGGCAGGATATTGACATATTTCATTATGTATAAATATTGAACTGTACTGAGTTAAAAACTTTATTCTTCTTGCATGTTATTATATAATCTTTCTAGAATTCTAATGTTTTTCATGTTGTCTTATAGTTTGTCTGTGGACTTTTGAGCTACTAGCGTGCAACGGCATTTACAACTGGAACGTTAAACTGATTCTTTGGATTGATCTTGCAGGATTGAACGAAAATTTGGCATTTTTAGCAAACTAGATGCTTGTACTTTTGTTGCCAATATATATGATGAAGGGAATGTATTGAGTATTGTAACTGATAGCTCCCCACATGGCACTCACGTTGCTGGTATTGCTACTGCTTTCCACCCAAAGGTAATGAGTATTACCATCAACCATAATTTAAGCCTCTATTACTTTATTTCATTACATGAAATATTTTACCCTTTAAAATATGATGTCATAGGAACCTCTGTTGAATGGAATTGCACCTGGAGCACAGTTAATTTCATGTAAAATTGGCGACTCACGATTAGGTTCAATGGAAACAGGAACCGGACTGACACGAGCATTGATAGCCGCTGTGGAGGTGGGTATTTGTTCATGTGGATTTGTAGTATGTTATTCTGAGATGAATAGCATTTAGGATATATTTGTGCCTTCTTAAAAACTAGAAGAGTGCTGGTTACCATTCCTTTTAAGGTTTCATATATGGGACTCTATGCAATTATGTTTCCTTCAGGTAAGTCCAAGTAGTCAGTCACCCTTTTCCATGAAAATATGCATGAGGTCTGTGCGGAATTCTCACTGTTCTAAGGGTGAAAATCAACTTATTAAATAATAGGTTCGTTTTGAAAATGTTAAAGGTTGACAAGGAACTCTTGTAAGCCGCATGTGGCATGTTTGTTTATTTTTTTCCTAGTTGATATCCACAAACCACCCCACTCTCTCAAGGAATTGTTTGCACCCAAGAGGAGTTGAACTTTAGATCTGAGGCACCAGGCCAAGTTCTTACCCACTTGAGCCAACCCCTTGGGGTTATGTGGCATGTTTGTTTATATAGTAGGAATCCTGTTCTCTCCGCATCCACAATATAAGAAGAATAATAGGTATGTGAGTTATATTTGGGTATGCTAAGGCGAGACTCCACAGCCTGGGCAGCCTGGGCATAGAATTTCAAAATCGAGACTCAAAAGGAATCAAAATGAGGTTTTTATAAGTTTCGAGGAGCAGCATTTTAAATCTTCTTGCTAATTTGTGACTCACTATATAGGAGGGCTATATTTTTTGGGATTTTACAAAAATTATGGAGGAGCCATATATTCTTTGTAAAACCCGCCAACTTATATCCCTTGGTACTCTATCATGGCATTCTCTCTGTATGTAAAAACCATGTGTAGACCTTTCTATTACTTATTATGTAAACGGCTTCCATATTGGATCATCTCGGCATAGATCCAAATTAGTTATCTGATATTGGGGCTTTGTTTTTTAGTTTTGTTTTATTATTCTCTCACATAATTTCATTGAATGACCCATTAATTTGATTCCTCGATAATTCCACAATTTTGTGTTTCTCCTTTATTTTATAATTGATATAATAACACTTTTATCCATTCGTTTGGCATCATTCCTTAATGCGGGCCGGGCCGAGGCTGCACCCTCCTATACCCAGGCCCTACCCATCCTCCTTTAGGACCGGACCAGCCCGTGGGCTTCGGGCTATTTTTGCACGCTTACCATATATTGTTGGATCCTGCCGCTTTATTAAAACCTGTCTTTTTGAGTGTCTTCTACTTATTATTTATTCTATATATCATTCCCATATGGGATTGATTACCTGCAATTTTTTTGCTACTATATTCCTCATTTAATAGCTGTAGGCAAAATCTAATTGAATCATCTCCGAAAAAAAGATCCGAGATGGATGCGGCACGTCTGCAAATTTGGATTCCCGAAGTGCTTCGTATGCCTGCTTTACCTACTTGGCGAAATGGAACAAACTTTGTTTCGTTTCCGGGTTTATGGATTGGATTCAGTCAGCCTTGCGACATAAGAAAAAGGAAGGATATAGGACTTTGGTTGGCAAATTTTTTTTATCAAAATTTGAAGTTTGTATTTTTGTTTATTTTTGAGTGTCAAAGTTAGTTATGGTAGTTGTGGTACCTTGTCCAAGGACAGATCATGAATTTCATCAAGGGCAAAAAGGTAATCTTACAATTCAAATTGATACACTTACCAATTAGGGTTTTGTACACAGTAGTTAGGGTTTCATATTTTGCATGTTTGATTCATATAAACCTATTTCTATATGCATCAAAGTGTTTTTGGAAATAAATAACCTCAAGTCCAATCCATATTAGAACAGTAGGCTTTGATCTATCAGGCTATCGATCAAAGGTCTTTGGACTTGTGTTGCATGATTGACACGTGGTTCAATTGATCGTGCTGTTTGAATCTGATTTTCCCTTTCAAATTCAAGTAAACTATTTTTATTTTTATTTTATTTTAATTTTTTTTTTTTTTTTTTTTTTTTTTATGACTATAAAGTTATACTTTGTTCCGAAAAAATAAAGGGAAAATAGCTAGCACAAGGTTACGGCATATTTTGCATGCATAGTGCTGCTGTTTTCTAGTAATCCTTTGATTATTTTGCATCCATCACCATACGTCTAGCGCGAGAGTAATATGTGAGTTGTTGAAGCTTCAATACTCGTGCTCAAAGGATTTCAACAACAAACCAACACACATCTAGTTGGATGATACTAGTAAGGACATGGAAGATCCATGGAGAAGCAGAATTTAAGTTTGTCAGTAAAGAAGTCTGTTGCTGGATCAGCAGCTGAAGGATCAGGGATTGATCTTGCATAAAAGTTTGAGTTGGGAGGAATTAAGTGATTCTTGTTCTTAGAGTCTGGTAACTTAATCTGTAACCTCTTTATACACAGTGGACTTATATCTGCTTGTCTAGGTCCCGTGATTTTTTTCTGTTTGGGGTTTTCACGTAAAATCTGGTGTGTTTAGCGTTATTGATTTATTTATCAGATGCATGATAAACAATGGTTGATGGATATTTGATTTTGTGTATTACATAATATCTTGAATATCTGTTAATCTAGTTCAAAGAATATTTAAAATGTGGTATTTGGCAAGCATGATGTATTGAGTCCCCCTCTAGCTCTAGATCACGGACCTTGCACAAATTTATTCAGAGCCTAGGGTTACAGTCTTATTTGTTTTCTCACCTATCTACCTAATATTCCAACATCTTTTTTTACTTATCAAAAAAAAAAAAAAATTCCAATATCTTTTACTAATACTGATTGATCTATTTCTAATTTGAACCATTCTCTAGTCAATCTGTCTCCACTTTATGCCAACCTGTAAATTGTTTTTCAACCCTCTTTTTGTACCTTAATTTTCATAAAAGACTTTCAATGAATTTTATTTACCATCTTTTTGGCTTAGCTTTTTCAGTTTTTGTATTTCCGAAATTGTTTTATTTCTTACTTTTTCCCCCCCAATTTTTGAAACTCGTCCTATTGTACTTCATCACTCCACCATCATGTTTCTTTTATGATAGTATGCTTTGCTTTAGTCTCTCCCAAAGTTTCCTTCACCACATTTATTACATAATCTTTCAGTTTATTTGACCATAAATTATGTATATTGTTATTCCAGTTTCATTGTTTTTCTTGTTATCTTTTTTTAATTAAATGTTATCCCCTTTCCATTTTATGTTTTGTTTACCTTTTATAGTTTTTGATACTTTGATTAACAAGAGAAAAATACAAAGAAAGTTTACTGCAGCATAAAAAGTGTAGTGCTAAAGCAACGGCGCAACGCCAATAGTGGCCATGCTATGGTAGTTGGGAATTGTAATTACTACAATAAATTGAACAGTACTGTGACAGTTTAATCGACATTATAATTTCATGGTCTTTTCAATTAATTTCCTTACAACATACCTTATTTTTGCCTATGGTGACTGTAATCACTATGTTGTATCAAGTTCCGAGTTTCTATCTAGGACTTCCAGTTTTGTAAAGTCAGTAACATAAGTGGCCCAAGGGGATCATGTATTCATGTTTGTTTCAATTTATTTAGTTATTTATTTTTCCACAGAAGAATTATGGCATCTTCTTCTTGTGATTTTGAGTGTTCAGTAGTAACTTGTTAATCCGTGATTCTATTCATACAGAGATACAATGTGACTTCGAAACATGTTTTCTTGGAGGGGGTGGGGGGGTGGGGCGGGCGGTCTTTGGTTGCAAAATCATTGCAATCACCTACCATTACAATCTGACCTTTGTCGGACTTGGGCCATCTTGGATCTGCACTTTCTCGACCATCTGTAAAGGCAAATAAACTTGTTTTGTGATCCTAAGCAAAACAAAAATAAAATTAACAAACTTGTTTTACAATATTTTTTTGATGGCTAGAAATAAATAAATAAAAAAAATAAAAAACAAATTAAAACTCAATTTGCCACGAAATTAATCAACCAAATGACACTAAGTCCTACATGTACAATTGTAGTTGTGTATCTAACTGTAATATTGTGTTCCTTTTATTGTATGAGTCTTCTTGAACTCAAGTGTGGTGTTCTAAAAGCATTGAAACAAGCTTTACTGAGATGTGTCATTGTGAAGCCTAATTTTGGGATTAAATGGTCTGAATGCTGCTTGTTATCTCTTTGTGGAACAATTTAACGAAAGGTGAGTTTTATATCTGTTTATGCATTCTTACTTCTACGAGTGATGCTAAAATTAAAATTTAGTATATACACAAGTTATAACCGGATCTTTAATTGCTAAAATCAGGGAGCACAGCATCTGCATTTTCCCATTAATTGGGTAACATAAAAACATTTCCGTCTCTTCCTTTGACCTTCAACCTTTCCCTAGAAAAGTCAATTTTGTTTTTGTTTATTTATTTATTATTATTATTATTATTTTTTTGAGTTTGTATAATCTGGCTTTTTTTGATGTTCTGATCAACCATGGTCGAGTTTTATTCTCAACTTATATTGTTCACAAATTTCTTCCCCGTTAAGTCCTCTCCCTACTTCTAACTGATACGATAACTTTTCTGGATTTAGTGCATTTGATATCCTTTGTCTTTTATTTTTTTCTATCTTGTGTGTTTTTACAGCACAAATGTGATCTCATCAACATGAGTTATGGAGAGGCTACATTGCTGCCGGACTATGGACGCTTTGTTGACCTTGTTAATGAAGTAAGAATTTTTTTACCTTGCAATATCAGCTTTCTGGAATCATTATGTGTCTTTTTATTTTTATTTTTATTTTTTTATTGTTTTTTCTCCTGATACTAGCGATAACACCTTTATTAATTATTTAGGTTGTGAATAAGCACCGTCTAATATTTGTCAGCAGTGCTGGCAACAATGGCCCTGCCTTGAGCACTGTGGGTGCACCTGGTGGTACCACCTCAAGCATAATAGGAGTTGGTGCATATCTCTCTCCTGTCATGGCTGCTGCAGCTCATTCTGTAGTTGAAGCTCCTTCTGAAGGGCTTGAATACACTTGGTATACTAACTTCCTTTTTTGAAGTTAATCTTTGAATTTTGAGTAATCAGGAAGCAGTCATTTTTTTTCCGTATTATGTCCTTATAATATGAGTTGGCTTTGAAGATGCTTCCTTCACACTATATTCTGGTTTGCATTTGAATCACATGTAATAAGCTGAAAGGAATGCAGGTCTAGCCGAGGGCCAACAGTTGATGGGGATCTTGGTGTTTGCATAAGTGCTCCTGGTGGGGCAGTGGCTCCCGTCCCTACATGGACTCTTCAGCGACGCATGCTTATGAATGGAACATCAATGTCATCTCCATCTGCTTGTGGGGCAATAGCTTTACTTGTCAGTGCCATGAAGGTTAGTGAGATATGCTTTACTTTGTTTTCGGATGTTTTACCTCTTTGTTATATTTTTTGGTCTCTTGATGACATGTGTGCTTCTATTTTTCCTTTTGACTAAGTCTTGCATGTGAACCTTTTGGTGGTGTAGGCTGAGGGCATCCCTGTGAGTCCATACAGTGTTCGAAAAGCCCTTGAGAATACATCTATTCCTGTGGGTGATTTGCCAGAAGATAAATTATCTGCCGGTCAAGGGCTTATGCAAGTGGACAAGTTAGATTTGCTACTCTAGTCCTTTATTTTTTAACTGCAAGAAATTGATTGATGTAAGTCTGGAATATATTTCAAATCCATGACAGGGCATATGAATACATTCAGAAATTGCATAATGTTCCATGTGTTTGGTATCACTTAAAAATCAATCAAGCTGGAAAATCAAGTGAGTTCGATTCCTCTCTCTCTCTCTCTCTCTCTCTCTCTCTCTCTCTCTCTCACGTCCACTCACATGCGTGTTTAATCTGATCCTTGTGCATTCATTGGTTGTAGAAAAAGTGTGTTAGCTTTATGTGTTAATCATAATTTTTTTTGTTCTCTTATGTCATTGCATGCTTACCTTACCCAAAAGATACTTGTGTTTATCAAGGTTTTGGAAATTCATTCACCAGTGATGATGGCTTTGCAGTCTCTTCAAGATTATATAACTTAAATTGATCTCTCTCCAAAGTGGAATTAAAAATTTGTTCATGATAACATTTTTTGTTCAGCCCCAGCATCACGAGGCATCTACCTTAGGGAGGCTAGTGCTTGCAAGCAATCTACGGAGGTGAGATTCTAAAAAGACTAGGTGGATTTCAATATATTTATTATGTTTTATGAACTTCATTAGCGACTGTTGAACTTTTTTCCCCCCTAAATTGAGCATTCAACTTTCTCTAAATTGAATTCAGTTTCTCCAGTAGACATGCTTAATTGTTGTACTACTCGTAACTTTCTAATATTTACATTTCAAATTAATATGATATTGATTGCTTTTCGCTGGTGTAGTCAATTATCTTTGTTGCTTATTGGCAAATGGCATTAGTTGTATTTCTGTTTTCTTGTGCTACCTCTAACTTCTTTAGAATGCGTGCTTCCTTCTACTTCACCCACCCCACCACCCCCCGCGCCCCCCCCCCCCCCCCCCCCCCCCCTCTCTTCCTCCTCTTTCTTTCTTTCTCCCTTTTTGCTTTTTAAACTATCTTTTCATCTTGCATCATATCACTCTACATCGTCGTTTTTCTATATACTCATGCATTTTGAGACCAGACTTTAATATGCAGCCATAAGAATGGTTAAGAGACAAGAAAGAGCGTAAACAAAACAGGATTACCGTGGTTTTGCTTTTTGCTTGTGATCCTATTGGAGATGAGAAAAAGTAGGCCATCCTTAGACCTAGTTTATAGCGCGCAGGTCGGATTGGACAGGTACTAATATTTTGGAACCTCAACCAATCCAATCTCAATGGTTTAAAAAAATAATGAAACCTATCCGATCACACTGTCTATCCTCTTTCTCAATGGTTCAGATTGGATTGGTTTACCCTATTATGAAATAAAGCCAAAAAGGATCCAACCATGGGAGCCCAAAACAGTCAGACCTTTTAGGCTTAATTGCTGCCTAGCCAATTTTCATTTTTAAACCCTTAAATTCTTGTATGAGAACTATAATATACATATATATAATAGTAGCAGTTCAGATTGGTTTTTTTTGGACTATAATTTGTGAACCGAAGCGATCACCACGTTTCTCTTAATTTTAAAACAGTAACCGAACTGATTGCTTGTGAAATGGAATGATCCGCATAGATCGGATCAGGATCAATTAACGGTTTGGCGGTATAAATGTTTACTGAAAATGATCTTGCTTCACGTCTTGGCTCAAAAGCCAATGTTTCTTAGAAGATAATGAGTTTTGGGGTGGAGTGCACATTTGAATTCTTTATAAATAACTGTTAACAAATTTTTTTTTTTGATAAGTAAGATTTTATTAAAAACGCTCAAAAGGGGAGCGAAGCCCAAAGAAACAAAAGGAAACAAAAGGGCCAAAGGGCGCCTTAGACCTTCAGAGAGGCCAAGAAAACAAATTTAAGTGGATGGAGTTTGAGTACCATAATGAGATTTGATTATGATGGCTTCTTTCTGTTCTAATAAACTTACTCTTGGTTATTGCTTGGAAGCCTCCTCCAAGGAGAATAATTAGATTAACTGTGATGGCTGTTCACCTTAATTATGGTCAAGTTGGACAAATAGGTATGTTTAGATATTTTCAAGAACATACAGTTTTGTTCTCTTAGCCATGTAGAACATGTTTTTCCGTGAAAAGTGAGACTTTGGCTCTCTTAGGAGGCCTTGAAGAGGCAATTTTTATGAGGTTTTGTGACTCTTCAATTGGCAGTGGCTCTGATTGCATGGTGGGGCGGGTGAAAGAGTTTCTCTGCCAAATTGTCGAGGGATATCTTGGATAATTTATTCCCTTAAAGGAACTTATTACACAAATTCCTAGGTCAGTGCACAGGGAGGTAGATAGCTTGGTCAAGTGAGGGGCGCCCCTAATGTATCCTTCTGTCCTTTTATCTTTAATAATATTCTGGTTTCTTATTAAATAGAGAGAGCTGAAGTGCCAATATTCTGTGCCGTCAAGTTTGGATGGCCTTGTGGTGGGATTCAACCCCTTTTAAGTGTATGCTTAAAAATGAGAGAAAAGCAGAAGGTCCATGTGGGTCCCACCAAATTGGCCGGTGTGTCCACCGCTTGTTGACACATGATCTGGAACTGCTTTTACTAGTGCTTGGTTGAATCCTCTTAATTTTCAACCTTCTTTTGGCAGGCGTTGTTGGACCTCTTGACTAGTCTAAAGCATATTTTCTTTGCAGGGATTCTGTAGGCTTTGGGTGGTTGAGTAATTTTGCTTCTTGGGTGGTTGGTTATGTGATATTCAAATTCCTTCACTTGTTTGGAAAATTGGTTGAGTTTTAGTTGGTTTACAAAATTTAGGAAATCCCTTGTAAAATAGGGACGTTTTTAATACTTCTGGAGAATCAAGATTCATAGAAACAATTGCAAGCGCTGTTATTAAAGTTTCTTTAACAGATTTGATGTTATCTCTTGCTCTCTCCAGAAATTCCCCATGTGGCTGGCAAATAACCCTTGCTCATATATTTTATTTATTTATTTATTTTTTATGTGGAAGTAGGAAAAAATTAGGAGAAAGAGAGAGGAAGAAGAATGGGGATGGAGCGTTGCATCTTCTATGCCTCTTGTTTACAAGAGAAGAAAGATGAAGGAGAGGAATGGAGATGATAAGAGGAATAGACATGATAATAGAGGGGTGGCGTAGTCGTCTTCTAAACCTCTGTGTGTCCATAAGAGAAATAGAATTAAAGAGGGATATGAAGAATAGAAGACGCTAGACAGGCACACACGTGTGCTAAAATCCTAGAAAGAATACTAATATCCGTCAATCTCAAAATGTATCTTGTTATATGCTTGATATTACCCTAAAAATACTTTTATACCTTATAAATTTGTTTTACCCAATATAACACTGAGTCCCAAAATTGTATTCCTAAACCTAAAGACGTCCAAGAATAAGAAATGCATAATTTTTTTAAAAAGAATCCTACTCTAGATTTTTAAAACAAAAAATTATTTGCTGCTGTTTAATATTTTCTCTGCTTGTAGGTCTCTCGTCTAAAACACATTCAAAGACATATTAATGGGATAAAGTTAGGCACTATCAAAACCTATGATATTAGGGTAAATCAGCTCTCGTCTTATTCTAGTAATCCCCTCTTGTTGGAGAAAAACCTCGTAAAGTATTAAAGATTGGGAATATGATTGCTTTCTCAAGTTTCTTTATTGATCTTCATTCTGATATTAAAGATTTAATTAATTCTCTTGAGAATTTCTTCAAGCATGTTTGGGAAAACGATATTTGTGACATTCTTTTCTTTCTTTCTTTGTGTTTATTTTATTATTATTATTATTATTTTTAATATGTGAAAGAAATAAAGAAAGTACAAGGGGAGAAGAAAGATAATTGGAAAGGGAGAGGTCATTGCATTTCTAAGCCCCTCGTTTGCAAGAGAAGATAGGGAGAGGGAAGGATCATACGAGAGGGAGGGAGCAAAGAGGGCTTCCAAACAACTCAATGTTCATATGAGAGAAATAGTATTAGATGGGGATAAAAAGGAGGATTGACCAATAGAGAATATTTTTAAAAGAAAACAAGAAAGAAACTAATATTCGTCTATTCATAGTGTGCCATCCTATTAAGATTCCTATTATCACCTTACAAGATTATCCTACTCAACATGGTAATAATCCATGCCCCCCGTCTCCCTTCCTAGAACCTTAAAAATCTAAAAGCAATAAAACATATCAATTCTTATTTAAAGATGACAATTAATAAGACTCTTTTTTTGATAAGTAAAGATGTAATAGAAAGCGTTCAAACGGGTAACGCATCCCACAAAAGCTACACAAGGCCTAATAGGGCCCTTAAACTCTCAAAGAGTCCAAAAAATGAACTATCTTCCCATAGATTTACAATTTCTCCCAAGAACCCAACAAAAAAGAGAGCTAAGAATAGAGAACTTCAGCACCCCAATAGAAGACTCTGCTCCTTCAAAAGATCTCCTATTACGTTCAAGCCATAACCACCACCAAACACACAGAGGGTGCTGCCCTCCAAAACTCATGAGCTTGGGCACCCACTATACACCCTCTCCAAGCCCAAATCAGTCTTCACGAGGAGCGAGGCATAATCTGATACCGGGTGCATCATGTTTGTGCTATCTTTAATGGCGAGACTCCATTGATTTCTACTAGGTGAGATACCTAGAAGGGTTATTGAGATTTTTTTTCTTCCTGTTTTTATTTTTATTTTTATAAATGTGTTATTGAGATTCTTAAGTTTTTCAGTTAACCACGTGGAAGTGGAGGCCGTGACATCCGGCCAGTTTTCATAAGACAAGATGTATTTAACTACTTTTGGAGTAGTAGCTAGCTTTAATTGAATCAGTTTGCCATTGAGATTCTTAAGCTTCTCTTCTTTTTCTCCTTTTCTTTGTTGTCTTATTTATTTTAGTTCTAACTTTGCTGTGAACAATCAGCACCCACAACCACCCTTTCTAAAGTCCTAAATTCATTAAGGCTCCTAGGCCTTTTGATTCTAATATCCAAGCCCATGTATTCTCCTTATTTTAACCCCAAGTCACTGTTTGCTTTTCTTGGATTTCACACCAAAATCAGCTATAAAAATTAGCCGATTCAAGCCTTAGCCCATCACAATTCAGATGTATTTATTTATTATTGCTTTATTAACTAAATTTATGAACTGATTGTATTTTTAAATTGTGATAAACACATCACAAAGCAGATGTAGTCGAGTGTTAAGTTCCTTTGGTTTCCCACAACAGGTAATAGGTCGAATCCTTGCCCAAAGCAACTTGTTACTGCCTTTTAATTATTAAATCATTATATTTGCCCACATAACCGCGTAATCAGCACACAATTTGCGGATTGCGGTAATGAATTCGCGGACTCTAAAACTTGAGTTCTTGAATTTGGGGTGAATCTGCTCCCAATGCACCGATTCGCGCGTGGAGCTTGGGAGCGATCACCAGAGTCACCAATAATGTGACTTAGGACCAAACCCACTTGATCTATGTATATCTAGCAATTTTTTTTTTTTTTGGAAATCTTTTAAATGCTATAAATTTTTATGAAATTTGAAGCTACAAATCCCATGAATTGAAGTTGGCATGTCCAACCCATTTGCAAGGATCCAACCCATTTACGATAGACAGCCCATTATAATGATCCGACCCGTTTAACACGGGAAAAATTATAATGGGGCTAGCATTTGGGTGACTAAGAAATTGACATTTCATAACGGGCTAGAATTCCATATTCCCAAATTCAAGCAGAATTTCCATTCTTTTATGAAATTTTGTAACTATGAGTCCTGGTCCACATTGGCCAACCCATTTGTATTTTGCCAAGCCCTGACTCGTTTACCATGGCCCAACCCTTTTGTATGGCCGACCTGTTTAACCAGATAAAACATGCAGATGTCTTTAGGACTAATACCTGTAAAGAAAGTAATAATAGTTATAATGTGTTCTTGAACATGAGTCAACAATGACTCGGCCATTTGTGGGACCCGACCTGTCAGCCCAACCCATTTTGTAGACCCCAGGATTTTAAAATTTTTTTTTTTTTTCCTGGATTTCAATCAGTGTGTGCAACTGGGTCTGCAAGACGAGCACAAGGGCATGCTTGTGTAGTGAGAGTTCAAATAGAATGCCTGTTTCAAGTTGGTCTCAGATCAACACAAACTCAGAAGAAAATGAGTCCAATCACGGCCATAAAACCAAAGTGAGAAAAGAACGAAGAAGAGACGCATACAGGTCTTCCACTTAGGCTTGAAAAGAGAAGATGCAGGCTTTGACCCTTTTGTATGAGCAACAAAAGCAAAGCAAGCTTCTAACGCTCTCAAGAACCCACCTTAAGTGCTCCGATGTACAACTCATCCAAGAGTTGACCTTCTCAGCTCAGGCAAGAGAGAAGAAAAGGACCCAATGAATCAAACAGTCATGTGATATTGTTATGAAACAGAGCACAACTTATTTATTGCCTCAGAGAGGGGGAATTGTGAGAGAGCCGAAGAGAGAGAAGGGAAGGAGGGGGGGAGGCGGGCGTGTGTGAGAGAGAGAGAGGCAACATGTATCTAGGATACTTGTCTGGATCTCTTATGTAATGGGTGAGATGTGGGTTGAATATGGGTACCCATATTCAATCCGTTTAACTCCTTTATAAAAATGGGTTTGACTTTCACAATCTGTTTTGACCCGCAATTCAAAATAGTTTACCAATATCCATTAAAGAGTGGGCAGATTTGGGCGGCTTGGTGGGTCTTGTGATTTTAAGACCCCTATCTACTATTCGTGTAAATATATATATTCATAATTAGTGTAATAGATTGAGATGGTAAAGAAAGAAATGGTTAGTTTAATTGAAATTATGACCTGCGAAGCATAATCCATATTGCAGAAAATAGTTCATACACGTACATGTTGACCTTACATAGAGTAGTGTAGCAAAACATGATTCATGTAGTGAACCTCAGGTAGTTGGAATAAGGATTTGTTGAATTGAATTTAGAATAAAAGAAAATAATTTTTTGGTGAAATAAATAAAGTCTAAAAAAAATAAAAAGAGAGAAATAGTTGTTGCATTCTAGAGGATGCTAGTGCTTGCCTTCTTTGTCCGAAGAATGTTTAATTAAAATTCTATTTGGCCATTTAGTCAGCTAAATTCCACTCCCCACCACCCCCAAGCGAAAGTGCCTTCTGGCTTCTCCGTATTTACCTATGCATCTATGCTGAATTGTTTCTTTTAGAGGCTGACATATTAATCCTTACAGTGGACGGTGCAAGTTGAACCAATGTTCCATGAAGATGCAAGCAATTTAGAACAATTGGTTCCTTTTGAAGAGTGTATTGAGTTACATTCTAGCGGAAAAGCTGTTGTGAGAGCTCCTGAGTACATCCTTCTCACTCATAATGGGCGTAATTTCAAGTTAGTCAGCAGCACTTCACTATTTTTCTAAATATGCACTCATAAATTATTACATGCCTTGATTAGTTGATTTTTTTTTCCTATTTTTGTCATAGCACTCCTACCCTGATGGGCTTCCATTCCTAGAAGTGACGAATACTTAGTTATTCAACTCCCACATATTTTGACATTGATTACTGAGAACAACTGAATTGGACCAAGCCAATAGTTGGAATGCATATATGCAGTGTGTAAACATATTTATGTATCTATCTTGTTGAGCATATTTATGTATTTGCTTTGAACTTTTGTTCAACAATACTTTTATGTAAGTATGTATTATGCCATCTCATGTGTTTGAGTGAACGAACTTGTCAGCTTGGGTGAAGTAATGCATGCAAAAGTAGTGTTAATTTGTTTGGCATTTGGTGTACTTCCTTGCAATTTAAAGATCCGTGGAAAATCATATTTTTGTGTGTCAAATACATGTTAGTTTTGTCGAGCACTGGGTGTACTTTCATTTATAATTTCAAGAACCGTGAGAAAAATATTGACATTATTACCTAAGATGTCACCTCAAACTTTTTGTCCTTGGAAATGTAATTTCTATGAGATATTATGACTTCAATTTCCATGGTCGAATTCCTTCAATGCTTTTCTTTCCTGTTCTTTTTTCCCCAGAAGTTAGAAAGAGAACGCCATTGACATCTAGCAGTATTAATGAAAAAATGTCTGGACCTTATGTCCTGCAAATTGTCTGGTACACCTGATATCACAAAACAAATTTCATGTTGAGCTCTAGTTGTTGTTCGCTAGTGGTCTCCTTTACTCAAAATACAATTCCAAAAGCATAATAAATGTGCCTTCTAGTTTTGCTGCCTGGATTATAAGGGTGCAGATACAGCAAGGAAAAAATCATGCATATAAGTCATAAAATGCACCAAACAGGTAGATTATTACAGTTATTATTATTACTTATCAAAAAAAAAAAAAAAAAAAGCACCAAACAGGCACACCAAAGGCTATACCTTTTAGTTTGTTTCGACAATCTACTTCATTGGGTCAAAGACATCAAAATGATTTTTTTGCATGTGTTGTGGGTTTAAGATTCAATTCTTGCTGTTGCCTTTCTTGTTCTCCCCTTTCTTCTCCAAGGGCCCAACTATAATAAAAAGATCTAGTTTGACTCCCCTTTTTTCTTTTTACTTATATTGGTGTCATTATCCTCACCTATTCTTAAATATTTTTGCTTGTTTGATTTGCCGATCTTTGTTACTTGTTTATGTTATTTTTATCTTTATTTAGTTATCAAGTTGAAAGGTAAACCATATTTACGAGTACTTACATGTTCTTTCCCTCAACCACCTTTCCAGCATAGTTGTGGATCCTACCAATCTTAGTGATGGTTTGCATTTCTATGAACTCTATGGGATAGACTGCAAGGCCCCATGGCGTGGTCCTCTTTTCAGAATTCCAATTACTATAACAAAGCCAATGGCTGTAAGAAATCGACCTCCACTGATTTCATTTTCAGGGATGTCGTTTCAACCAGGTGATTATTGTTGTGTTGTTGTGATTGATAACTGTTGCTGTCATACCTGCTCTTTCAAGAATTTTGTTTTATATGCCTGTATCATTAAATCATTACTACTAAATGTTCTTGAATGCAATAGGTGTACTTTTGCCATCAATTCCATAATAATAGCAGGTTCGATGGCAATTGATATTTCATTTAAACTATGAAAAGTTCTTTTTAACTTATACATGTTATCTAAGGGACGCTAGATAGGTGAACTTGGTACAAGCCTAACCTTCGGCATTTATTTCCATGTAATGGCTATCCTAAGATGCACTTGTGTTATCATGCTTGATAGCCTAAGTTTTTACTTTAGTTCAACCTGAACTTCCTTGAGGTACCTGGAAATTTGTATTGGCTATTCAGTAATGAGTCGATTTTGTATCTTTGTCTCTATCTCCAACTTATTCTCATGTGCAATCGGATCAGTTTCTTTTTTTTCTTTTTATTTATTTTTCTGTTTAAAGAAAATTAGGATTTTGTGTAGGGGTGTCATTTCGTGCTAGCGGGTCATATTTGTGTCGTGTAGACCTAATAGTGTTCTGTTGTATACTTAACTGGAACACAACCTGTTTAGTGTTTGTGTCAGAAACACTTGACACAAACACGACCCGTTTATTAAATAGGTAATACGACACGATCTATGTAACACTTTTAATAAATAGGTCGTGTAACTCAAAACGCGACCAGTTTTGGCCCCTTTCAACAGAGCGCTCCTAAGTAAGTTGTTATGGAGATTCGGTGGTGAACGGCATAGGTTATGGAGGAGGGTTATTTCGTGTCAGTTTGGGGAGGAGAGAGGGGGATAGTTATCTAGGCCGGTTAGATTTGCTATTGGCATGGGGGTGTGGAAATTCATTCGAAACGGATGGGATGAGTTCTCTAAGCATATTAGATTCCGAGTTCAGGAGGGAAGGGACGTCCGGTTTTGGGAGGATACTTGGTGTGATGATTGCCCATTGTCTTGTTTGTTCCCAAGATTGTTCAGGATTGCTGTTGATAGACATGCTTTGGTAGCTGACTGATATCGACTCGATAGCGGTGGGTTTTCCTGGGATGTGCGATTTCGGCGATCCTTTCAGGATTAGGAGTTGGACGATGTGACTGGGTTGCTGGACCTTTTGTATAGACAGGAGGTGGATGGTACTGGTTCGGATTCCTTGACTTGGGTTCCTTCTTTGCAGGGGACTTTTAAGGTCTGTTCCTTTGGTTTGTTTGGCGTCCAATGGGTTATGCCCCGGACTTCAAGGGATTTGATTGACATTTGGAGGGGCCACAGGGTGGGGGTTCATGCTCATGACTCTTGGAGGGCGACCCCCCTCTGTGTTTGGTGGAATCTTTGGAAAGAGCGGAATAGAAGATCTTTTGATGGGGAGGAATCCTCCATTGGGGCGTCGAAGTTTTTTATTATTAGTTCTCTTTTTAGTTGGGTGATGGGGAGAAATTGTATATCTTTAGATGAAATCGTGGACTTTTTGGTTTCTTTGGGTCCATAGTACTCCTTTTTGGGTTTTGGTATTTGTATAGCTCTTGGGACGCGTTCTCCTTTTGAACGCTTTCTAATACACTTATCAAAAATTAAAAAAATCTATTTAACCTGCTTAAATTAAATTGGTCATGGAACCTGTTTATTAACTTGTTTTTAAGTATAAAATGCTAATCTGTATAACCCGCTTAAATTAAATGGGTCATGGAACTTGTTTATTAACCTCTTTTTAACAATAAAATTCAAATATAATAAATAAAATGACATAATGGATGACTAAATTCATGAAAATGAGAAGAATTAGGACAATACAATTACAAGAAAAGGATAAATATAATATTTATATTAGGTTTATATTGAAATAACAAAAAATTCCATAGTATTTTGGGTTAAAACACATTACGGGTTAATTGGGTTGAATTGACACGGATAATTAAACTGGTCTAATCAGGTTAAACGGGTTGAGTCCCAAAACACCAACACAACGCGATTTTGGCACAAACCCGATTAAGGTCAACTCAAAATTGCTAATTTCGTGTCTTTTTTTGAGTTGTGTTGGTAGGTCATGTTTTATTTTGCCACCCCTAGATGCTTGTTTTGCTCATAGGGAGATTGTCAGTTAGCGAACTTTTTAAATATTTTTGACAAAATATTTATTTCCATCATCTTTGTCTATTTCTACCAATCTCTCTTTACTCCTCTTCCTAACTTCAAAATATATCTTTTTCTTCCTATGTATATGTGTTTAGAATGAGAAAAAGAAAAGAAAATGTGATTCCTTTTCAAAACTTCCCCTTAATTTCTATTACTTTATATATATATATTTTCTTGCGACTTATTTTTAATGTCCTCGGCAAATTGTTTAACATCACTCTATCCCGCACAATGCCTTGCGGACATTAATTTGGAGTATTGACCGTATAATGCAATCAGTTATGAAAGAAAGAAAATAAATCTGAAGAAGGGAAAACAGAGAGCTAGTTCAAGCTATAAAAAGGTTAAACACCCACCACAACCCAATCCCAAAAGAAAGGGAGAGGTAAAAAGCTGCTTCGATTGACAAAATATATTGATAATACTAAAAGCTGTTGAGTACAACTTTGAACAACCCTTTTATAAGCCAGAAGGGATGCCCTAGCAAATATTTAATCCTAACCCTTCATATAAATAAAATCTAACGGCTACTATTCTGTCGAGCTGAATAAAATGCGTTAAAATTGACAAAATATCCATTAAATGGTCACATGACTCACTTAATAGGCACATGATTCTTTAAATAGAAGAAGAATGACAAAAATATCTGAACTGCTTAAGGCAAACATTAAACAGAAAATTTAGGCAAACAACTTAAAACCCAAAAAAATGTTGTGCAATTTTAGTCTAGTCTTCTTAAGATCTTCAACTGTTTGAAGAAAGTTCTCTTCCATTTGTGATGCATCAGTCCCTCTAGGTGAGAGAAAACTCGTCCTCGAGTTAGAAGCAAATTTCCACGATCAAAAAAAAAAATCTAAGCATGGTGTTCGATCCCTTCTTTCTTCTTTTCTGAACTCATATCAAATAGATTAATGATAATCTTCTTATGCTAACAAAGAATACATTTGCATAATAAACATGGATGTTGCTAGCTTAGAAATTGGGTAGATTCGCAAAACTTGGTGGAACACTCTCCAAGAATTCACTCCAAATCCATTATATTTCATCTCCATGGATCCAAAAGCTTCATGATCAACCACATATCCTTCTTTTTGAGATTTTTCTTTTGTAACTTTTTTTTTTTGTAGCTGGTACTCACACACCCCACCTCAAGGAATTGTTTGCACCCAAGAGGTTTCAAACCTGAGGCACCAGGGCCAAGTTATTACCCACTTGCCAACCCCGTATCGAAGATCGCTAATTGATCCCAATACATAGATATTTTTGACTTATATTGTTTAATGCGTGGTTCTTCATTAAAAATTGGAGGCTTACTTCAGTCAATGAATGGTTTTATAGTAGCTTCCTCTTCTTCTTGTGGTTGTTCTTCTCGTCCACTAAGGTATCCTGCAAATTCAAGAATTTTCACCTTCAAGCCACGAATCCAATGCTTTTCTTCAAATGGAATAGGTGTTGGTCTTGGTGCTGCATTTCTACAAAAAGGTTTAACAAAATCCTCTTCAGATTGTCCTCCTCTCCAGATTCGATGTCATCTTGAGAAGGAGCTGGGATTACGCGCTGGGCTAAAGCTTCAATCTGCCTTCTCAAATTTTCTATCTCAGCACACACTTGTTGTTGATCAACTGGTGCGTCCTGATGAGGCTGAATTACTGGTCCACGAGGTGGGTTTCTTCTCCTTTGTAGAATGTTACAATTTCTAAGAGAGATATCTGATAACCCAACAGAAAAACACTGGACCGGAACTTCTTGTGATATCAACTAATGCAATCAGCTATGAAAGAAAGAAAATAAATCTGGAGAAGGGAAAACAGAGAGCTATAAAAACACTGGACCGGAACTTCTTGTGATATCAACTAATGCAATCAGCTATGAAAGAAAGAAAATAAATCTGAAGAAGGGAAAACAGAGAGCTAGTTCAAGCTAAAAAAAAATAGCTTAAACACCCACAACCCATTACCAAAAGAAAGGGAGAAGTAAAAAGCTGCTTCGACAGAATGAATATATTGATAATACTAATGCTCTGTTCTGTAGGAAAGAAAAAAACTGGATGGAAGGGAGAGAAGAAGGAATGGATGAGACATCCCTAGGGAAGAGATTGTGCATTTTCTTTTTTTTTTTTGTTCGGTTGGATAGAAGAGAAGACAAGAAGTTCATAATTTACTATGTTCGTTAAGAGAGAAGGAAAGAGAGAGTTTTAATTGTTTTTACCATTATATCTAATAATATTTATTATATTGTAATTTATAAAAGGATAATACTATAATTTAATACTCGTATAATTTAGGATAGTATTTAATTTAAAACTTCTATAATAATAGTCCACTTGTCTTCCCTCCTTTAATCCGCCCATTTTTGGGTGGATGACAATTTGTAAAAGAGGAAGGATGACTCCTTTCTTTTCTTGTATCATCTCTAACGAACAAACGAAGTTCGTTCATTCCTTCCTATTCTCTCTCCATACCTCTTCCTTCCTTCCTACTGAACACAACATAAAAGCTGCTGAATACAACTTGGAACAATCATTTTATAAAGCCACAAGGGATGCCCTAGCAAAGATTTTATCCTAACCATTCATATAATCTAATGGCTACTATTCTCTCCAGCAGAATAAAATGCGTTAAAATTTACAAAATAGCCCTTAAATGGTCACGACTCACTTAATGGGTACATGACTCATTAAATAGGAGAATAGTGATAAAAATATCCCAAATAAAGCTTAAGGCAAACGTTAAACAGAAAATTAAGACAAGCAACTTAAGACCCAAAAACAATGTTGCGCAATTTTAGTCTAGTCTTCTTGAGATCTTCAACTGTTTGAAGAAAGTTCTCTTCCATTTGCGCTGCATCACCGTATGGTTTCGATGCTTTTGAAGATGGGAAATAGATGATAATATTACGAGTAGGGTTGGAGTATGGTCCAAATGGAGACGGGCTAGTGGTAATCCTAAGCAAGCGACAGAGGCCGACCAAAAGTTTCATGGGAGGAAGTAATTAAAAACAATTTTAAAAAATTAAATCTAAGAGAAGACATGGTATACAATAGGAAGGAATGGAAAAAGAGACTTCATGTGACCAACCCCATCCATATGGGAAAAAGGAAATTTAAAACTTAAATCTAAGAGAATGCATTTGGGAGGGAAGTAACTGCAGTTTCTTAATGGGTATGTGGCCGGTGGTTTTTTGCCCCTCTTCCTATCTTACTCTGTTTTTGCCACTAGCCGTTGGCTTGTCTATTTAGTGAAAACTCAAGTCCAGGTTGGGACATGGATGCATGTCAATTGCTTACAGTAAAACATTTACCTGAATTTTAGCTATTATTTAAAAAAAAAAGAAAAGAAACGAAAAGTAGAGTAATTTTCTAGTGGTAAAGGTTATGTACCCAGTCTACTTCTCTCAGCACCCTTTGCTAAATTTGGGTTATGTACTTGTACTAAAATAAATTCTTAGTTTGGAAGTTTAATGGTTCCTCTCTCTCTCTCTCTCTCTCTCTCTCTCTCTAGCGCACGCTCACACATGGCATGTTAAACTCTCATCTCCTTTTTGCCCCTTTGCAGTTGTGCTTTATGAATAATTTCACCTGAAAATTTGTTGTTTTCTGTTGCCTACACATTTTATTATCTTTCTGGTAAAATTATCCTTTTCTTCTGTGATATTGTGATTTTTTTTTTTTTAATTTGGTTGTTGATGTGTATACCTTCACTGGGACAGCCTTGCGTATTTAGTGTATATTTATGGGGAAAGAACTTTCCTATACCACTTTCCATGTAATACATGAGTTTTTAGCCATTTTATATATCATTAAATTTTGTGGTGTTCCTATAAATATAGTCGTCACTATATATTCAACTATTTTTTTCATCTCATAGTTACTGCTTATAAGCACATTCTGTTAGTGGAGAATATGATTGTTTTTGTTCCTTCTGGATATACTGCTTCACTAGGTCAAATTGAACGGAGATATATTGAGGTACCAATTGGTGCTACTTGGGTCGAGGCAACCATGCGAACATCGGGGTTTGATACTGCTAGAAAATTTATGCTTGACAGAATTCAGGTAGAACATTCAGGTTGAGCTTATTTCACATTTTCTAGACCTGTTTTGACATGTTTCCCATGTGCAGATCAGCCCATTGCAAAGGCCTATGCAATGGGAACGTGTAATTACATTTTCTTCTCCTTCAGCCAAAAGCTTTGCCTTTCCGGTGGAGGGTGGTCGGACAATGGAATTAACGATAGCTCAATTTTGGTCAAGTGGCATAGGGAGTCAAGAAACCACTGTTGTAGACTTTGAGGTAGCATTTTTTTTTTCCCAATTAGAAAATTTAAGTGACGGACTGATTTACTGGATCGTAATAGATTGCTTTGGTTTATAAACTTCAGCAAAGAAAGTTTATCAACGTTTACATATTATTGCACTGTAGTAGTCCCATTACTTGAATTTGTAATTATTCTGTTTTGATATTACTTTTTTTGTCCCTATTTTTATTTTTTATTTTTTTCTATTTATGGATAGGATGGTATTTACTTGGTGCATGAAATTGTCTAGAGATTGTAATTTGAATTAACATATTGCGTTATGATATGCACTTCGTTTAACTGGGTTTTGGATTACATGCTGTTTTAGGGTTGTCAGAAGGGAAGGTTTCTATTGTGGCACTGCGATTTATAGTCAGTTGCGGTGTCGGTGTTGCTATTTAGTGTCCATATGTGATTCTTAAGCCTTTCTTAATTTTCTTCAATAAAATAATATTTTATTTAAAAAGGGACTTTTTAGAGCCTCCAAAATTCTGAATATCTATAAAATTTTATACTCAAGCTTCATTACGAGGATTGGAATTGTCAACTAACAAACCGGTTGTCATGTGGAAATCTTTCCTGTTAGTGGAAATGCAATGCTTTTTGTGCTTTATGTTTACACACACACGCACACACACTGTGTGTGTTGTGGAAGTCATAAAGGTGGGAGATATAACAGAATTTTGTTGCTAGCGTTGCCTGGGCTGTTCTTTCAGTAAAGCCCACCCCCTAAACCGCTTGGCCTAAACCGCTTGGCCACACTGTTAGAGATGCAAATTCTGATAAATTTGTGCTTACATGTTCTTTTACCTGGAAATTCGGGGTTGTCATTTTTTAATTCTTTCTTTTTTGAATGAACCACAACAGATACGGCATTCTTAACTGGGCAAAAAAGAAGTGTTTGATATTTTGGCTGCAGCTACTAGTGACTGTTCAGAGCATCTTATCCTTGTGTATGAGCATAGAATTTGTGAACTTGTTGACTGTTTTTCGAAACCTATCTATTTGAGTCAATGTTGATAGCTGCTACCAAAATTGAAAGTGCTGCTCCATTATTCTTCCATAATGTTGTCCGTCCTCAGAAAATGTTAAAACATTGTAGGAATCAGAATTTCTATTATTACTTTTCTTATGTGCTTATGATGCCCGGCCATAATTCCTCTTATTCTTTTCAATATTTTGCTCATTTTAGCATATGAAATTCTTTCAAAGTTCTCACTCTAGTTGCACTTTCTTGATGCTTGTGGTTTTACAAGAAGAAATGTGTTTTTTCTCTTTGAATCATGATATGGAGTGATATTTTTCCTTATTCCCAATGTAAAGCCTTTACCTGCTCTTTCTTTTATTTGAATTCTTAGATTGCTTTCCATGGTATTCACATCAACAAAGAGGAAGTGATACTTGATGGAAGTGAAGCACCTGTTAGAATTGATGCTGAAGCTTTTCTATCATCGGAGAAACTCGTTCCAGTTGCAATTCTAAACAAGGTGCAGTATGTTCTATAATTCAATTTTCCAGGTTTCATGTTATGTTTCTATAATTATATTTGCTATACCGAGTAAATTTTGTGAAATTTCTTTTCCTGTTCTCATTGATTCATTTGTGCAGATGAGATTCCCATATCGTCCTGTTGATGCTAAACTGAGTGCTCTTTCAGCAGAACGTGACAGACTACCCTCAGGCAAACAGATTCTAGCATTGACATTAACGTCAGTTCTGGTTTTGACTTCTGTTTGCTTTTTCTGCTTCATCCTAAATGCATCCCTAAAACTATCTAAATTCACTCTTATTCTGTTGGTGCTGCAGATACAAGTTTAAATTGGAAGATGGAGCTGAAGTAAAACCTCAAATTCCCTTGCTTAACAATCGCATCTATGACAATAAGTTTGAGTCTCAATTTTATATGATATCAGATTCAAACAAGGTATACATTTATATCGGTATATGAGATTATTCATGACATTTTAATATGCGAATCCCCCTTCTTTTTTGTTATTGAAATGCTTACAGAATATACTTTTGGTGTCTGTGTCAATATATGTTATACTCATTAGGACAAGTTTGACATGTTAATATAATTTATATAATTACAGAATATATTTGTTGTACTGGTGATCACAAGAATCCTTTAAAAGAGTGCTTTGTGCTAAGAATGAGAAGAATGGGTAGCAAATGCGTCTTGTTGCATCTCGACAGAGTCATTGTGTACACGCAGATGGTGGATATAAATTGGAAAAATTATAGCCTACATCTACATGGCTTATCAATGCACAAGTTATTCCTTAGGCATTATTCAAACTCCCCCTGGCGTCTTTGCAATCATGTAACCAACACACACACAATTTATAATACCCCTAAAATTATTACTGCACAAATAAATTTAACTTGTGGTCCTAACATTCATTGAAAATTTTAATTGGCCCCGTAATTTGTTTTTTTTTTTCACAACACTTGTATATTGGCCCCAAAAATTTAACTTGTGTCCTTTGAAACTTATAGAAATTTTGGCATGGACCATTTTAACCATCCTCTTAAAAGCTGAAATCTTGTGAAACATAAATTTAAGTTCATTATTATTGTAGTCTTTATGGCAACTCATCGTTACTTCATTCACATATACGCATGTATAATATCCATTATATTAATTCAAGAGAGAAAAATACACTAATGTCACCTCTTTAAAGCTGAAATCTTGTGAAACATAAATTTAAGTTCATTATTATTCTAGTCTTTATGGCAACTCATCATTACTTCATTCACATATACACATGTATAATATCCATTATATTAATTCAAGAGAGAAAAATACACTAATGTCCCCTCATGTTTTAACTTTTTTTCTCGCACTTTTTAGTCATATGGTGTTTACAACTAAAATATCTAAAATTATATACCAATCACCATTAGAAAGTCTTGGGAGCATTGGGAAGGAGGAGAAACTAAGGTGTTAGTGACACCAAAATGGCAAGAATGCCAACAACAACAATGATATCATAAATGCTAGTACTTTTAATTGTCACTTGCCAAATGACAAAATGTATGGCTACTTCCTGTATAAGGCTCCTAAAGTTATAATCTTGTTTTGTTATAACTTGCGAAATTTTGTTTAGTTAAAATTTATTTATTTTTCTTAATCTTTTGTCAAAAAAATAATATATATATTTCCTAAATTGGAATTACTCATTGGAATAATAAGAGATTATGTGAAATTGACTTGGCCTTTTAACGAGACTATCCACTCTTCAAATATATATAGATGGAGTAAAGCAAGCCTTAATTTAAGGAGTAAAGCAAGCCTTAAATTAAGGAGTAAAACAAGCCTTAAATTAAGGAGTAAAGCAAGATAAAATTAAGAAAAATAAAGTCTAAATTATTTCCAACAGGAATTAATCAAAGTACTCAAAATGTTTTTCCAAAAATTGGATTTAAAAAAAATTGTGAAAGAAAATTGATTCTGTAACAATGCTTTTTCTATACCCCTTCTCTTTTTACTTGTAACTTATCGTTGCCTCTTCTTTATATTTCTCTTTCTTATATAAATTTTTTTTTCCTATTTTTTTAAGTTACATTTTTTTCATTTTTGGATTTTCTCAAGGTATATATACTATGACTATGTATTATAAACAAAATTATATTACAATTGGTTTAAAAAAAAAAATCAAATTTTAATTACATAATAGAAATTTGGGCCCCCCAAAACTAAAATTTCTGGCTCTGTCCCTGATTGCATGTATAAAAAATCGGGGCACATCTATATTTTATCTTACTTTACAAGTCCATGAGAGATATTGTACAGTAAAAGTAGTTATTATCATGAATTTTACATCTTCTTCGTCATTTAAGGTTAGAAGGTTCTTGTGGTGGCTATATGTTACAAGTAGAGAAGCCTTGAAGGGAGCATACTCAACTCAACAAAGCCTTTTTCTGATCTTCTTGGGGTCGGCTACATGAATCCAATTTCTCCATTCCACCCAATTTGGATTAAAAAAACAAAGAAAGGGGAAAGTAAAATAGCATTCTTTACAATCTACATACTCTATGACTAGGAACACGGTACAAGGAATTCCCGGCATCTAGTAGAAAAAGAATATAAACAAGCAAAAGTTTTTCTTTCATAATTAAATTTTTTGACCATACATAATCACCAACGAGAATTTTTACGAACTTGATGTTGATAAATCCGCGAATCTAGAAATTCATTTCGGACAATTGAACTCAATTATTCAAGGCCGTAGTCTCAATCAAACCACATGTTGTCATATCCTTCCTTAATCTACCCACGTTAAATTTGGTCTTCTATTCTCTTAGAGCATTGCCCTTAATGTGGGCCATGTTACTCTTCCTAACTCCTGTACTTAGTGGCCTTCTTTGTACATGAACAACCATCTTAATCTATTTTCTCTCATTTTATCTCCAATTTTGCTACTCCAACCATCTTACGCTCATTTCTAATTTTATTCTTTCTTGTTTTCCTACACATCCATCTTAACATTCGCATTTTCGTCACTCACTTTATTCATGCATTGTTTCTTAGCTGCCAAATATTATCTCCCACAAAGAACATCTTACTGAATAGCTGTTTGATAGAGCTAACCTTTCAATTTTACAGGGATATGCCTATCACACAAAATATTAGATGCACTTCTCCATTTGACCTCTCCTGCCTTGATTCGTAACATCATCTCTAATTTATCCTTCATTATGAATAATTGAGCCTAAATAACAGTGTCAAAAAAAAAAAAAAAAAAAAATTTGACGAGAGAAATTGAGTATGAACAAAACAAGAATATTACGTGGTTTTGCCACTACGGCCTACATCCATGGCATAGAAAGCCCAAGGGCTACTTCTCTTTCATTATATTCTCTCTTAATTTTGTCTATAATGACCACCTCTATTTACAGGTGAAAGAATACAAACATGTGATAAATATGGAAAATATATTGATGGAGAATCCCTAAAATCAAATCCCATGAATCACTCCAATCAATTTTCTATCGTAGGCTTAATCACTCCTATAATGATACCCTCTCTCACACTCCCCCCCCCCCCTCTCAAGTTGGTACACGGAGATTTTTACTCGTGTCCAACTTGAAACTAAATATGAAGTTGTCGAGTGTCCTTCGTTTCGGGTTTGTCACCCATCATATCTAGCACGTGGAGATCGGAGACGAGTAGATCCGATCACAACGTTCGAGCGAGATGAGGGGTGCCTTACGAGTTTTGATCATATAACCGAGAGGAATGGTGCAGGTACTCTTTCTTTTGATATCTAGGTCCTCTATTAAACAAGAAACACAAAGAGAATCGAGGGGGGGCGAGATAGGATAGAGATGGGGCAAGTTAGGTACCAAATGAATGCTTTGATGCCATGCCAAGAAAAATAAAATTGAAGCGAGAAATTGAACATGAACAACACAAGAATAGAACATGATTCGGTCACTATGGCCTACATCCATGGTGCACAAAGCCTAAATGGCTACTTCTCTTTGATTATATTCTCTCATAATTTTGTTAACAACGACCACAATTCATAGGTGAAAGAAAACAAAGCATGTGATAAATATATTGATGGAGAATCTCTAAAATCAATCCAATTAATATTCTATCAAAGTCACCAATGAAAAATATATATATATATATATATATATATATATATATATATATTCTATCAAGGTCTTAAATCACTCCAATAATGATATTCTCTAACAAACGGAAATGTTCACTCATTTGTATCTTATGACCCTCAATTTTCGCCACCTCTATTTGTATTTCTAGATTTATTAAAGTTACTCTTCGTTTATTCACTTTTGTTCCTACTAATCTAAACCTTTTTAATTCTAGAGTTTCTCTCCAACCCTTCAATTTAGCACCAACTAGGTTTCTACTAATCTACCCTTCTAATTCTAGAGTTTCGCTCCAGACCTCCAATTTAGCACTTACTCCTCTAGTTTTGTCACTCAAAACAATATCACCAGCAAATAACATCTCATGGACCATCTGTAACTATATTTTTACTTTTCAGTTATCCTGATTTCCCTCAGTGGTACAAGCAGGCATCATTCTAAATGTACTTGATGATACAAGTACGCTTTCATGGAAGTGCAAAAATTTAAAATAAAGTCTCACTAATCTTTACTTAGCTCATAGTCATAGGCTTTCAGATAATATAGTAAAGTGTCATCCGTAAATGGAACATGAGTTTGTATTCTTGTATTTTTATATTTTTATTTTTATTTATTTTTATGCATCTATTTGTCTTGCTGCATTTCATATGCTTCTAATCTATGTAGGATTTTTTTAAATGTGCCCTTTTCTTTTCTTTTCTTTCCTTTCACCGCCTTTTACCCATAAAGAAGTAGATCCTAATTGTTTTCTTAGTTCTGGCTGAGCCGATTTACCCCCTTCTTTCTAAATACATTTTTGTTTACCAAATGTAGCGAGTACATGCTATGGGTGATGTATATCCAGAATACAAAAAACTTCCCAAGGGTGAATATAGTTTACAGCTATATTTGAGGTATGACCCCTTTTTCTAAGTTGGCAAAAATTGAATTTTATTCATTAGCATATTATTCCTTACTGAACTCTTTGAATCGATTAATTGTTTTGCTACTTCGATTTGGTATTGTAATGTCAGTCAAACATTCAACAAGAAATCATACCGTTTGGTAAAATGGAATGCCTAAGTACCAGGAGTTTGTTCATTGGAATTATCATATCCTTATCTCGGATACCCAGGACATGGAAGTGTGAAACTAGGTTTAATCACAATAAAGGAAATGAACAGTGTTGAAGGATTTATATTTTAAGTTGCACCATCTCTAATAGCTTAAGCTTTTGGAGTAGATGGTTGTTAACATGGTATCAGAGCCAAAGTTCTCGAGTTCAAACTTCACCGCCACCCTAATTTAAAATTTAAAAAACACATGTTGGACCAAAAGAAGGCCACACGTGAGGGGGCGTGTTAAAGGATTTATATATTTAAGTTGCACCCTTTCTAATAGCTTAAGCTTTTAGAGTAGATGGTTGTTAACAAACAGTATCTGGGAAAAGTGATATTTTCAATTATTTCAGTGACAACTTTTAATGTTAATGAATAAGTGATGCTTCAAGTTTAGCTTACGAATTGCTCACAATACTTAGCAATTTTTCAGGCATGACAATGTGCAATACTTGGAGAAGATGAAGCAATTGGTGTTGTTCATTGAAAGAAATTTGGAGGAGAAGGTAGAGTACCATATTTCTAAGGACCAAGTTATAAATTTCTAGATGTGGGGAATGGCTTCCACAATTAGAAATTTCTTTTATATCATGGTTTTAAAAGCTGCTTAGTCGCATTTTACGCATTTTCCTTTGTATGATTCTTTTATGCTAATATGTCTGGTACGAGAAAGGTGAGAGGTAGGAAAGAGGGGAGCACACTTCCACTATTGGGTAGAGTGAGAAAAGATGGGAGGATGAGAATGAATGAGGCATCCCTCCAGACCCACCAATTTTCTTTTGTCAAAACCGGGCAGAAGGGAAGAGAGAGAAGAATATTTGGTAATATTCAAAGCCTCCTCCTTCCTTCGCTCCTACCAAACAAAAGGTGGGAAGGGGACATTTCCTTTGCTAGAGATGCCTCTTCCGTTACTCATCCTTTCATTCCATCAACTTTTCCATCCCTACTATACGGACTATTATTGATTGTGGTTTCAAAAAGCCACATGTATTAACTTATCCAAAAAAAAGAAAAGCCACATGTATTAAAATTGTTTGCCAAGGTTTATATATATATTTTGGCATATTTTAGTCATGATTAGCAGAAAATTTTCCGAAGTTTTCATGAGGGTTAATTTAACTGATGGTAACCCTTAAAAAAATATATATATATATATAACTGATGGTGCCAGTGGAAATCCTGCAATTATGATGCTACCCTCAAGTCTTCCAGTCCAATTTATTTTTCCTTTCGTTTTTCTTCACAACTAATTTCATGGCTTGCCAAGTTAACATGATTAATAATTTTTACAAATTATTTTCAATTTTATGTTAACAATTTTTTATTCCGTAAGAATTCATATTCAAGTTATTTCTTTCTCCTCCTAAATAAATTCCTATGAGGATTGCAGAGAAGGATTAAAGAAATTTCTTTAATCCATTTTTCATGACCTCACTCACGTGCTTTGTTTCTTCCACCAATGGGAAATCTTCATGATGAGTGTAATTGTTCACCACACGAGCAGACAAAATTCTGAACCCTTCCTTGCATTGAAGAGCATTCTTTCAATTGGAAAACAGTCACTCAAAAGAGTCAAAACAGGAAGCAGTTTACAAACATTCAAGACCAAGAATTAACAGAATACTAAAAGTAATTACCCAGTATGGTCCTTGTGTGCACTTGGGGTTTTGTTTTGGTGGGGGTAGGATGGGCATTGGATACAACCCTAACATTTGGCATTATTTGCACAATTTAGCTGCTCTCAGAATCCAAAGTCATGTTCTCATGCTTGACAGCCCTATCATTTTACCAGTCCGCCAAAAAACGACTCCAAGTTAGAGCATTTGGCATTATTTGCACAATGTAGAGCATTTGGCATTATTTGCACAATGTAGCTGCTCTCAGAATCCAAACTCATGTTCTCATGCTTGACAGCCCTATCATTTTACCAGTGCGCCAAAAAACGACTCCTAGTTAGAACATTGGCAGCGGATAACAGGCTGCTGCAAAATCCTTTTCCTTGGATGATTCTCTTTAACTTCTTGTTCACTACCTTTGTCCTCCTTACTAATTGACCTTTGATATGTGATTTTTATTTTTAAAACAAAAAGGATCTCTGAGATCTGATTACTAGCTCTGACTTACTTGATTCTTGGTATGCAAAATGTTACACTGGGTGTTGTTACTTTGTAGACCTGTGAACCTATTGTTGTGTAAAGTTAAAAATTTAGTGAAACGAAAGTGAGAGTGTAACTCGGATATTGTTTTTTTACCAATCTGCTACTGCCATTTCATATATATTTAATTTCTAGTGTTATTAGTGCATTTGTGATGTATCTAGAATCATCAAATCTATGTTCTAAGGTTCAAATTTGATAGATTTATTCCGCTTAGCATCTCTGTGTCTACAAGACGAGACATGTATGGGTATGGGATATGTGTCCGACACACCTACCCAAATCGACACCTGGATCCTCTAATCTTGATGAAGGAAGAAGAAGAACAACTCAAATGTGATAGCAAAGAAGGGCTATATATTTCTGGCATAAATGAAATCTCTTTTTCACCCTTTTTATTCAATTTTTATTATTATTGAGTACATTTTTAAAAAATAAAAGCATCATGCGTTATACTTTTATGTAGCATATTATGTTCATATGTTGTACAAGACATGCCTACATACCCATATCCAGGTTTTGGACACATTTCAGGCCGAGTCCACGTATACTGTGTTACCTGGACTCGTCAGAGAAGGCCAGAGTGTCCATGTCGACACGACACGACACGGACACGGACACGGGATATGTGTCCGACCCTCCATTTTTCAATCGGACACGGCTGATGACGAAAATACATAAAATGATGTGTACTTTGATGCTTGTGAAGGATTAGGAATTTTTTTTCGTGTTTTTTTGTTAAATCTGCAGGCATATGAAGCTTTCTGTTTCAACAATGGCCGTTTTGGTTCGGATCGGTGGTCTGAAGGTTGAAGACGACTTGCTGTTTATGAACCCACACGCGCTGCTTTTGTGCAATTTTTTGTGCCATCTTGTGCGTGGTCTCACGAACTTAATATCTAACCTTTTAACGGTCAGGATCACAACACTTGTTTATTTGGATCTGGAAAGATAAGAGACATTGGGACACAGCTGTAAAAAGTCTTGCATCTCACGTGGAAAAAAGGGACCTACTGTGGACTTTTGACTCGGCTTCCTTTTATGGTTACAGCTGTAATTTTGCTTTTATGGTACTGCTATATGAATCGGCTTCCTTTTTAATTGGGCTTTTGACTTGTACAGGCCCAAAACCCAAGCATCAATCCATGACTGAGATGCACATACAGAGACATATTAGCCCATATTGAATTAGTCATCCTTTTTTATTGTGCTTTGACTTGTACAGGCCCAAATGCCAAGATACAGAGGCATATTAGCCCAAGCCCAAACTCGCCCTTGGTTAAACAAAAAGAGCCCTACAGCTCAGAATTTCTTATTTACAGGTTCCATAAAACAGCAGTAACAGGGAATGCATAGCCATGACATGCCCCCTATCAAATGAGGCAAACAAATGCAGTAATAATTTTAAAATTCTTATAAAAGAGTACAATTGATATATATTTTTTTAGTTTTAGGATTAATGTCTCAAACATAACTTACAAATTTTTCTCTTTTTAAAGTGTCCCAAGTACCCGTGTCCAATATTTGGACACTTTTAATCCGAGTCTCCGTGTCCTGAAAATTGATAGATTGACGAATCCGACTCCTAGGCACGCACCCTTGTCCGACACCTGTACCCGAGTCCGGGTAACATAGCACGTATCCCAAGAGGGATTTAGGGAGGTCTAACATTTAGACACATACCCGTACCCGATTCATATATATTTGATTTCAGGTAACATAGGACCTGCAAGCCTTTTGCTGTGTGAAGTTATAAATTGTAACACTTAGCCTTTTTGTTGTGGGATTTTTTTGGGGGATTAATCTGCTACTTCCATATCATATATCTTTAATTGGTAGTCTTATTAGTGCATTTATAATGTAATTAGTGCTTTTCCAGGAACATCAAATCTAGGTTATAATTCAAACTTGATAGACTTATAATAAATTTGAAACATGAAATGGTATTAGTCTGCTGGGAGGTTCAAAGTTAATTTAGAATTTTGAAAAGCCATATTGGCCATGAATGTGGCATTGTATATTTAGTTTTCATATTTAAATGCTAGTCATTTTTCTTGATCCAGGAAGTCATTCGATTGAACTTTTTTGCTCAACCAGATGGTCCAGTGATGGGTAATGGTAGCTTTAAATCCTCAGATTTAGTTCCTAGGTATGTGCTTCTCCTTGATCATTAATTTGTCATTGCAATCTTCTCACATTCTATATGTATAACTAGCTTATATTATACATTTTCTATGCTCATTCAATTTTGCAAGAGTGAAAGAAGCATTTTATGTGGGCCCTCCAACCAAAGACAAACTCCCAAAGGTATTGCATGTCTAGATGCCTTATTTTTCTTTTTATTTTATTTTCAGTATATATATATATATATATTTTCTGTTGAAGGTGAAGTTCATGTTTTATAGTGTTTGATTAACTACAGAATTCTCCCCAAGGATCGGTGTTGCTTGGAGCAATCTCATATGGAAAGGTTTCATCTGGGATTCAAGAAGAGGGGAAAAATCCTCAAAAAAACCCTGTATCTTATCAGCTATATTATCAAGTGCCACCTCATAAGGTTATTAGATTTGATGCCCCATGTAATTTCCTTTCAGTTGAGTGTTAGTGATCCTTAAATGTTTCGTATATTCATTCACTGGTAACCTTAGCTTACACTGATTACAATTCCTTCTTGGATTGTATCTTCTATTTCTTTATTTTAAAAATTATTTTCATTATTCTTGGACAGCTTGACGAAGACAAAGGAAAGGGTTCCTCTACAACTTGCACGAAAAGTGTGTCTGAATGTTTAGAAGAAGAGGTATTTGAAACACTTAAAGAATCTTCCACACTATTGTTTTCATATGAGATGGAACTTGCTGTATTTCAGCTGTTGTGCAGTTGCTTGCTGATCATGGGTTTAAACTTTAAGCAAATTTGGTTTTGTATGAAGCCTCTCCTTCTTCCCCCTCAAAATATATATGTACTACATCCAACTTACACTTGTTTGTAATATATTTCCAATATTAAATTATATATCACATTAAAGGGTGGTTAAAGTGGTTATCTCCGTGATAACTTATGCATGAGCAACTTCACATTGGCAGTCCTAATAGCATCTAAAGAAGGTCTTTCGATGAACAGGAGGCTTAGTCACAGGCTAAGAGCTCTGCGATAAGAAATAAGAAATAAGTGGTTTGTCATGGTTGTTCTCTTAAACCAAAGGTCAAAATACCACCAACTAGACACGAGCTGGCATCTTGAGAAACATAAATTTTCCGGAAAATTATGAACTTGATAGATATCACTTTCCTGTTCCACAAAAGGTCAAAAGTTGGAAGTTTTGAACCCATGACTGCATGATCTTCAAGAACATGGAGAGGAACTTGGACTTTAATAAAAACTACAAATGAGGAAACAAAGCCTCCCTGACATTATTTCTTGCAGCAAAATTTTGTAGAAAATTAAAAGGAAATAAGTGAGAAAAGTGAGATTAACTAGAATGAGATTTTCTGACACTATTTCACCTCCAACAAAGTGTTGTCAGTAACTTGGCAGGGGTTGTGGGATTGGTTTGAAGAGAACACTAGAATGCCGAGAAAACCCAACCAGTTTGGGTTTGGAGTCAAACATTGTTATTGTTCTATGAAATCACATGATCTTAAAGTGGGATTTAATCACTGGCTAATAAATATGCTACCGGCTTACCAGTAATCTGTTTGACAGCACTAGGAGTTTTGCTGAGGATATGGCTTTGTATAGACCAGCCCCAAGTAGTTGGGAAAAGGGGTTTGTTGAGTTGTAGTTGCACTGGATGTTTTTATTGCCTTGCATATTGTGGGCTACAGGTAAAATATTTAAAGTATAATTGCATCAGTTTTGGTGTGATTGAAGAGAAATGCAAATAGATTTAAGATATGACTTGTGGAGTGTTATTTCACCGTACAGGTCACACCTTCCAACCACTGTTGCACTTGCTGCTGGTATGATTAGGATCACCATGGAGTGCCAGATTTAGGGTTCAAATATGCTGATTATGTATGCTGCAGTAGCATTAATACAATACTAACATTATTTTTTACTTAGTCCATTTCCGATATTAATTTATGATCCTGATTGTTCCCAGCGTGTATGGTACTGCTAGTCATTAATGTGTTAGATTAATGACAGATCTCATTTGGTTAATCAGGTTCGGGATGCCAAGATCAAGATTTTGGCAAGCCTAAAACAAAGCACTGATGAAGAACGCTCAGAATGGAAAAAATTATCCATCTCTCTTAAGGTAAAAACTTATTGTACTATTTTCTGAGAATGGTGTCTAGATTGTGATATGATATGTATATATTATTTGCATAATGATTAAACCTCTAACAGATTAGACTTCAAGAACTCATATTGCACAGTTTTCAACTCAATGCCAAGCAGGAAAACAAAAAAAAAGAAAAAGAAAAACCCATGTGTTTTTATTTCAACCAAACTTTCTTTTGTGATAGTTCTATTTGATTAGACTTGACTCTTAATTCTGTTGAATTTTTGCATTATGGGTTGTAATTTGGCAGTTTATGGTGTGGTTTCCACAGCCTGTTTCAATCTCTAAATGCTTCTTGCATCGTGTGTTTGTTGGCAGTCTGAGTACCCAAAGTACACTCCATTGCTTTCTAAAATATTGGAGGGTTTGCTATCCCAGAATAATGTCGAAGACAAGATTCATCATTATGAAGAGGTGTGTTCTAAAGCATTACATACTGCTAAAATGTCCATGTTGAATCTTTATTTCAATGTAACCATCTAATCATTGAATAAAATAAAGTGATGAATAGAGTGTTTGAGCGAATTCACATCTTTTCTTCTTGTGGTCCTATGGCATTCAATCTTCTGCCTATTTAGAGAGGTTTCAAGTTCCACAACTTGAAGGCTGTTACACTGATGTGGTGGTGATGCCCTCTAAGGTAGCAATGAACCTGTGCACCGTGTAGAAGCTGTAACAGCTGCTATTCCCCAGGAACTACATATATAACTTATTTAATAACTCAGCAACCTTTAAAAATACATTGACTGGTTTCCTTCTCTTCTGAACTGCTTATATTTCCTTCATTCTATTTCTGTAAATAAGAGAGGCAGGGGTTGTAAATTATGATTACTCAGTCACTTCTCCCCTTGGAATTCATGAGTAATATGCCATTAGAAACACAGTATTTTTTTCATATACCATAAATATGATTGTTCCAGAATATCATAAATGTTGTTCCCTGTCCTTTTTCTCATGTTCTATTTTTATACTGGTTGTTTGCCAGTTTTACTTCCTCTTACAAAGTGCCAATTTGCAGCTTATAGATGCAGCAGATGAGATAGTTGATAGTATTGACAGAGATGAATTAGCAAAATATTTGTCCCTCAAAAGTGATCCAGAAGATGAGGAGGCAGAGGTGCGTATATATGTTTCCCACACTTTTTTCAGATGAAGTTCTCAGGAAACTCAACAACTGAGGCATTGGGTTTCCATTCTATCATATGATCAGTGGAAATATTTATCTTCACTTTCCATATCAATTGTTTTCATTTTTTGAGAGCTTGTGTATATAACCTCTTGTAAATTGGCATCTATGTGTGCAACATGGAATTTGCAAATGTTCTCCCTCCGATTTTCCTTATTTTATGTTCCGATAATATTTCTGTGATTTTGTGGTTATGGTCTAGAAAATGGCAATTTATATTTACTTTATGCTCACTATCTTTAGAAGACAAAGAAGAAGATGGAAACAACCCGTGATCAGTTAGCAGAAGCACTGTATCAAAAAGGATTAGCTCTGGCAGAGATTGAATCTTTGAAGGTGTGGATTTACTAAACTATTTTACATATATTGATCTCTTTTTAGTTTCCATCTGATTGAAGTTCAAATTGTTTGTGAATTGTCTATGAGACTTTATCAGAGTAGTGGTTTCATGAAACTGCCTTTGTCATTAGAAGCAGTAGGGTCCATAAAACATTGACAATATAGCAACAAGGCATGAAGGCAGATGGATTCTGAGGGCGGGTGATTTATTATTTTAGAATCCTAGGCTGTCAAATCATTTATATTGTAAATTTTCATGTAACATATATAATCTCAGTATCTAATTTAAGTTAGCTCTATCAGTGAGACTAGAGTCTCTAAAAATTTTACTATAGTACCTGTCTCCTAAGGAAATAGACCAAATCTGTGATTCAAATGGCATCAAGTCTCTGTAGTTTCTATTCAGAGTTTTAAATATTAGTACTATATAGAGAGATGAGATGCCTTTACAATGTAGGAACACTTCTAACATATGTACATGTGTGTGTGCGCACGCGCGCGCACGTGTTCTTACAACTTGAATGACTTGAATACATAACTGCTGATGCTTCTTTTGAAATCATTCTGCTTAGAATAGTTATTTTATTGTTGTTCTTATCATGAAGTTATGATTATTGTCTTTGATGATGATGATGTTTGCTGTTATTATTGCATCAGGGAGATAAGGCTCCTGCTTTAGCTTCAACTGAAGATGCAAAAGTTACAAGTAAGAGTGATGATCAATCTGCACCGGACTCTAATGCCCCACTAGATTTGTTTGAAGAAAACTTCAAAGAACTAAAGAAATGGGTGGATGTGAAATCTTCTAAATATGGCACCCTCTCAGTAATACGTGAGAGACGTTCTGGAAGACTTGGAACTGCACTGAAGGTAATTCTTTTATTATCCTTTCCTGTCATATGTATTTGGTATGCTGCTAAAATTGTAGAAAATGAGGTCTATTGGATTTATTATTTTTTATTTTTTATTTTTTTCATTTTTGGATTGTGGGAGTGGGTTCATATTGAATAGCTGTCAAAAATTTTACCTCAGGAAATAGCTGCAGAAGTCGGTTTTTCACATTACTCTTTTGACTCTGTGATTGAAGTAGGACACTCAAATCAGTTTCAGCCAACACGCACCGCACCACTCTAGGCACATGCTTTAGGGCACCAGTCTAGTTTCAGCCAACACGCACCACTTTAGGGCAGCTCAACTATCTCCAACCACTCGATCTTGATTGAAGCGGTCTTGCTTTAGCCAATAGCACACATCCTTCGCAAGAGGGACCAAAAGGATTGTAGAAGCCACCTGCTTCTGCCACTTAGTCAAGCCATGCGGAGTCCATGACTTTGAATTCTTGTTCTCTAGAACAGTCAATGCCATGCCCCAATATGCCATGCATTACCAACCAACCTTTCCCACCATGGGCTGCCACCCTTAGCTACGGTCAGGTCTTGCTTAGAAACCCTGACGTATTGCCTTTTCAACCAGCCACAACTTCGCCCGAGGCAATATGGCACTACCAAGGGCAAACACGTGCAGTGCTTGCCATGCCATGCACAAGGCTTGGGGTGTGAAACCATGTGTTCCCCACCCTTAAGAGGAGGGGGAGAAGAGGGATGGGTGGCAATGAATTCACCATTCCACTTGGAGGAGACACACATGATGTATGACAATTAATAATCCCGTTTTCTCAAAAAATTCAAAACCACACTTCTCCTAAATTACGAAAATACCACTGAGTCGAATCACCACTAGCTGCAATGAGCTAGTTCATAATCCCATCTTAGGCAAGCTGGTGCACCAAAGGTTCATCTTTGTGTTGGTCACGCCATGCCCAGCAACGAATAAGAGGCTTGAGGGCCACCCCATTTGGGCGAGTGAGGGTGGGTGACTGGGTGAGGGACCACACCCTCCTTTTATATGCATAAGTAATATTTCTGAACTTGGCAGGAGGAGATATCACCTCTGCTTGAGGAGACATAGTGCCTATAAATAATTGTAGGCAATTAGACATGGTCTTCTCTGTTGGGCTTCTATTGACTTATTCTTGCTACCTTATTTTTCTCACATTGGTAGCATATCCTGAACTAACGCTAACAAATATTTATGAAAATGTCGTTCATAGGCAAAGTGTGCTAACCTCATTGACTGTCCCCGCCTCCCCATGCCCTGTCTAGTTGTTTTGGGACATTTAATGTGGAGCTAACAGTTGGACCTTAATGGTTTAGCTATTAAAGGACTCTGTTTGGACCTTAATACATATTTCATTCTTTTGTCTTTGACTTTTATATTTTTTGTTTCTGTTCTACCCTCGTCAAATAAAATTGATCTGAAGTCCATTTGGTTGGTGGTTGAAAGTTCTGCTAATATTGTTAACCATGTCAGACGCGTGCACCCATTTGTGTTATTTCTAGCGAATCTATCACACAGTCTTCTTTGTTGAAAATAAATTCCGTATAAAAGATAAGTTTCAAAGTAGTTTTGGTTATGCTGATTAGTCAGTCTTATGCTTTACTGAATCACTGGACAGGTACTAAATGACATGATCCAAGATGATGGCGATCCTCCGAAGAAGAAGCTTTATGAATTAAAACTTTCGTTGCTTGAGCAGATTGGATGGAGCCATTTGGTGTCGTATGAGAAACAGTGGATGCTCGTACGCTTCCCATCAAGTCTTCCTCTTTTTTGAGAGATTCCAAGTTCACCCCAGCCGGAACGAGGATTCCTGCTTCATTGGCAGTCTGAGACCTTGGTGATGTTGGGCCCTTACGAAGCTATTACTCTATTACAAAAGCATAGCATGTCTGCATTGGTCGACTTGAACCAATCATGAAATGGTTGGAATCACTTCATAGTATCGAAGGGAAGGGCTTTGTGCGTGTGCAAAAGAAGTCGCTAATCCAACTCTCACTTTGTAGTTTGATCCTCCTTAGCACATGATGAAGTAGCCATTCTCTTCAGTGTTTCACATTCATTGTTCTCATTGTGAACAGACTAATAAGATCGACAGAGTAGTGGACTGCAATTACCTGAGGGATTTCTCAGAAAACTAAATCCTTCCGTTCTCTCTTTTCCCAATAATCAAATTGATAGATAACTGTTTTTTTTAAGGTTATATTACAAAATGGGAGTAGTGGCAACTAATTCTTACCATTAGAACCATATAAAATTCAACTAATATATGACTCCTCCTAATTCTTGCCTCCAAAACCATTGAACTAGGGAATAATCTTTACCGGGGAATACTAATCTTGCTAGGTCAACAATGGGAACCTTTTGATGAGAGATTCACTATCATAAACAAAAATCTTATTGTTCTAAGTTTGAAACTCGCATAACTTGCCGCGATTTCTCCCTATGACCAAGCTGTATATGTCCTTACTTCATCAATCCCATTCTTCTGCATTTAACGTTTGTTAGAACTGGCGTATAATCATTGGCTTGACTTCGATTACAAGTTTAGTTTGACCCCAAATTTTATTAGGTGAAAACTAGGTTCTGTTCAAGTTTGTGCTTCCATGGTTGTAACAAACTCAAGCACAATCCGTTCCCAACCCAGCTTTGAATCGGTTTAGACAAGTAGTTGGGGTTGGGTTTAAAATTGTAACGTCCAGGTTTGGGCTATTTTGATGCATCGCTTCTCATTCTCTGGTCCAATGAAAAACCATAAGATGAAGCTAGTGAGTTCTCAAATTCTCTAGTTTGGGAGTCATTGCCTATTCTGAGCACGTATACACTTATCCATCAGATCTAGAACGTCACTCCAATGAGTGCATTGGTGTTTTTTTTTTCTTTTTTCTTTTTCTTTTTCCTGGCAAACAATATAGAAATTCTATTTATTTGAAATAAAAGAAATAACATCTAGGGCTACGATGTTATGAATTCACTAGTGTTGTGTTTGGGAGTATGTGTTTTGGATTTGGTGTTGGAAGAAACTTAGTTTAAACTTTGCACTAATTTCCTCTAATTCCAAATTTGAAGCCCGGTGCTATCAAAAACATAAGCATCCTGCCATACTCAAACTTGACTCAATTTTGTCTGCCAACTCATGAACAGCGAAGTAATGTAGAATCGTAACTAGACATTGTGCATTGATTAGGTTCATACCCGGAACTTCATTGTTTTTCACTCTATATAATAGCTTGTGTTCATTCATTTAAAATAAGTGCAAAAAACTTCTTTGAACTATTATTATTTTACAAATAACCCCTGAGCTATTAATTTGTTGTAAATATGGACAAACACATGGCAAAAGATTATTTTACCGTCTCAAAATTTATCATTTTTTATTAAATTATTTTTATTATATTTTCTCTTATCTAAACATTAATTATACTATTTACCTTAATTTTATTATTAATATCAATTTATCATAATATATATATTAGTAATGACCATTATTTAAATGATTAATTTATTATTTATAATAAAACTTATTATCCCTAGCTTAAACTTTTTTACCATAGAAAAATACCTTCTTTTCATACAATATATTCATAAAAAATTAATAAACTACTTAAATAAAAAATACCTTCTTCTTCATGTAATATATTCATGAAAAATTAAGAAATTGATTAAATTATTTTAAAATTTTCTACTTAAGATTTTTATTTAAACAATTAATTTAAAAAATTAGAGGTAAATTTAATGGAGAATATGTTATCAAATAAGTATGAATTTTTTTCATAATTTATTTCAAATAAGAAAAAGTGATTTTAAGTGTAATTTAATGAGAAAGAACATTATGATCATTTAATGAAATATAATCTAGGCATTGGGTCATTTTGTAATAAAATGTGATAGTTCAATGAGGCATTATGTATAAAATATAATTCAGATGGATTATTTGCAAATTTAAATATAGTTGAGGGATTTTTTTTTTTTTTTTTTTTTTTTTTTTTTTTTTTTTTTGCACTTTACCCTCAAAACAATGAATAAAGTACATTTATATTATTATTTTAAAGGGTACAAGTACCATATTGAAGGGTTGTATTTGGATAATGAAAATTGATGTTCTTCAGTCTTCAAGGGGTCCGTTTTGGTCACTACCGTTGGGTTGATTCTCAATCTTCTCGTCGGAACAACTGGGTCTCTGCAACTCACTCTCTACGATCTTCACAAATTTTTTTATTTTAGAGCTTGTCATCCACTGATGCCGATATATGAATATATATATATATATGGTTGGAACTTTTAATGGGCTAACTTGGGCTATAGCCAATGTCCAATTTTTAAAAATAATTTAGTATTACTATTCTTATCAGCCCAGTTCAAATGTAATCAAACTCTTTGTCTTCCTATCAATCCAATCCATATGTAATATGTAATAATTTTTACTACTCTTTTCTCTCGTAAGGTTTGGCCTGCTTGGGGTCTAGCAAGGAAATTGCATAGACTTGAAAGGGGGTCTAATTTCTCTTCTTTTTGGACAAATATAGAGTATTATTACTATGAGAAAAAAAAAAAAAAAAATGCAAATTACGTTGTCACAAAGTCGATATTCAATATAAAAACAGTTCACAATAAATTGGCCATTTATAAGCGAACCAAAATGGTCATTTTTCATGGATGAATTTTACCACCATCAATATTAAAATATCACCTGTTAGTGTTTGTAATTTGCTTATTGGTTAAAGTCAACCACCATTGATAGTTGTGAAATTGAAACCACCACAGGGAACCGCAAAAATTCATTACTAGAGAGGACTTGGATCCCTTTTTAGAATGAGTTGTAGAATCAACTCAAGCTCCTAAAAATCAAGCTCAATTTTATTGATAGGAAATAAAGTCATCTTTTCCAAGTACCAAAAATGTCTTTTCACAAGAATTACCCAAGACAAAAGGGTCCCATTTGATCATTTATAATGGAAGACTAAAAAATTAATCAAACTTTAGGTATTATATTTATTTTCCTTGTTCTTAATATATATAAAAGTTTGAACTGTCCTCTACTAAGATTATTTTCCTATTTGTAGAACAAAATTTTAAAATTCAAGACACCAGCCTATTTTATTGGGAATCAAGGATCTAAAAATGCCCCCGACACACAAAAGAGTAAAACAAACCAGGAGTGACTAGACTTATAACTTATTTATAATAATAACTCATTAGCAATAATAAAACTTTTTTAAAGTCATACAAGCTTTAAACTTTAGAAGTTATGGAAGAGCATGATAGCATCGTCAAGCTTCATCAGGGAAGATTCAAGGACAATCCTGACTTTTTGCAATCGCTTCCGTCTTTTTGCAAGTTCCCCTACAAGTTTGTCTTTTGGTATCATCAAAACCTGGCACAAGTTGTCACACAAAATGCTTAGTGCATACCAAATATAATACTAGCATAAATATGGTAGCAGCAAGCAAAAATGCTAGAAGCAACATCAGCAACTCAATCTGGTGGACAATTTAGAAAATACGGGGAGAAAATCTTTGTCGTGGAAAAAGATTGCAAGTTTTCTCGAGCCAAAAAGTTCGTTTCGAAAGGGAAGCTTCCCTTGGGATCTCAAAAGCTCTTTTGAAAATGTTGCATCCCGGTACAATTACGACAAACAATAACTTCCCTTGGGATCTCAAAACCTCTTTTTGAAAATGTTGTATCCCGGTACAATTACAACAAACAATTCGATTTAACAAATTTATCAATCTCGAAGCAATAATATATTTAACAAATATCATGATATGAAAAAAGGATTTTAGTGTAGCTAGACAAGGATTCTATACTTGTGAGTTGGGATTCAAGTTCAAAACACAAATCGGTGTCTTGCAACCCACAGCACATTGAACAATGGAACTGTTACAACCGATTCTAACACAAAATAATTCCCATTCAAATATTGTAACCCCCTCACATCACAGCTAACTAGGTCAGCTACATAACAACTTTTATATGCCAATCTATTCTGAGCTTAAATCCGTGTCAAATAATAGATCAGCATGAATTTCTTTGAACTTTAAACTCATGTTTTCATTGGCGTGTTTATTCTCTTTTCTATGACATTCAATGATTTACATAACTAATCTTTACCAATATTCATTCACAGTCACCATTAGACCTACATTCATTTCTCATTTTCTCCACATCCTCATTTAGGCCACGGCCAAAAGAATGTTTTTGCACGTCCTTTCTTGATAACCAAACATTTTGAATATGAGGATCTCCAAAGACTACACTTCAAAAACACTTTCATTATCTAGTTTTGATCCCACAAAAGCATATCCTCCACATCTCTCTGTTCTTGTGCACCAACAAACAAAAATGATACAATGGCCAATCATTTCCTTCTCATCAATCTTTATTATTCACTTGTTTTAATGATCATATGGAAAAAAACTGTGGGCAAAATCAGGATGTGGAAATGATTAAGTGAAGACAAGAGCAATCAAGTATCAGGAGAGAGCAAAGGTTAAAAATATTAAGACCAGATAAAGTTCTCCAAGGTGGTTCAGTAATGGGCATATAAAACTAGCAATCACAGATTTCTACCGGAGAATTGACGAGGATTTTCACTAAAACAATTGCGGATCTTGATGATGCAATTAACATGAAGGTATTGGGCTTTAGAAAGGATATGACCCTAAGACCATCAAACTTCAGTCAAAAATATGCCAGACGAGATTATCCCTCTCTGCCTTGTACTCTTTCAATTTCTGTTTTTAAAACAAGTAGGGATCTATGCCAAACCCATTATGTACACACATTTCTCTTCTTGTAATAAAAAAATAGTGACTTATAAAAAGAAGGGTTAGTTAATAGCTGCAAAAGTATCTGCCATGACAGCGGTTAACTCATCAAAGAACTAGAAATCTTAGAGATTATTAGTTCCATTAATAATCATTAGAATTACTATTTCTGCAACCATAAGGACTCCACATATAACAACCCATCTCACACATCTAGGACCATGTGGCCATTAGGGCTGTGGAAATAACAGCTCCCCAGTTATTCTAAAGACACGAATTAGAGCAGAATGACTAGAAAAAAACTTGGTGTTGCTGACAGTAAGTAGCAGGGAATTAAAAATATTGAGTTGTGTTGCATATAGTCTTAATATGAATCTATATATCCATTTGGTGGTTCAAAGGCTCAAAATTTGTTTCAAGGAAAGCGAAATAATAGTTCGCTCCGTGCTCATCATACGGCTCCATAAATGTGTCAAAAATGGAAGCAATAAATAAAACACGAATTCCTTTTGACTTCTGTGCACACTTCTATGCATTACATTAATTTAACATAAATTATATTAGAGCTATACTATAATACTAACAATAAAATCCATTGGAAACTGAAGCTTAATATACTCGAACTATGATGTGAAAAATGAAATAAGAGAATCAATTAAAATATGTGTGTTTGTGTGTACATCATATTCATATTACACCATTACCATGTTAATTCACCGCCAAAAGGCCAAGCGACTGGTATCTCTTAGAATGGTCAAACTATCCACTTCGGTTCAGACATAGAATAAAAAAATTATGCTGACAATAATGTAATACTGATTGACATTTAGTACAACATGATGGGCCCCATTTAAATTGAGTTTCAAAAAAACATTGTTTTCCTAATAATTGCATTGTTCCGGAATGGTAAGAGAGTCAGTAATTCCATAGTTTTATGGTCTCAAAACTGATCTGATTAATTTTATTTATTAGTTAAACCGAATCTGAATAAAAACTCCTTTGAATAGTACAAAACTACAATTCCATGTAATAGTTCTTCATAAACCAGATCACAGCCCCAGAAAGTCAAAAGACGAGATAAACAAAGAGACAACAATGTTCAAGTGTAGGACCAAAACAAATTTGAGAAGAGGAATAGTTGTCCAAACCTCTTTTTCTTTTTCTTGCTCATAAGCAGTTCGTAATCTCAAATTTAAGGCAGCATGGTACATCTCATCTAGGACATGTTCCCAAAGAGAACTTTTATTGACTTTCCACAACAAGAAGTTTGACTGTTTGCCTCCAAACGTGCTTACTTTCTGCAAGAAGGATAAGAAATTATTATACTTATAACTAGAAGCTATTAGATATCACATTTACAATCATTAATGCTATCACAACATAAAAATCTGGTTTGGATTTTTTTTTTGTTTCTATTTAATTTTATTTTTTATACATTTGAAGTAAGAAAAGATAAATGCATGCTTCCAGAATCAATATATATATATATATATATATATATATATATATATAATAGTGCAACATTAAATACAACTACAGTACCATTGTGGTTGATATTTTTAAATTTACAAACTTGTAGTACCAAATTTTATATCATAGATCTCAGAAGAAAATGGTTGATAACGTTTTACCTAAATTTGTAATTTAATTTAACATCTAGAAACGCATATTGACTACCCCATCTGGAGAAACATCACATCAAGATTCAAGAAGAACCAAAACCAAATCTGAATTTCAGGATTCCTAAAATCTCTTACTATTTGAACATGATTGTGTGGAAATTTGAATCAATGTGCATTATATATCAGTATATATCATTCCAAAATCAGGACTCACTACATTCAAAATCCCACTAAATGTGGCTCTATACTTCATATGTGCAACTAATGGATAACAAAAGCTTTCAGCAGATATAGTGCAGCTCACACCTATGCGCCTACCATAATCTTATTCAAGAAGTTCTAACCATATATAAGGATGAATTCAAAGGGTCAAAAATAAATAAGCAATTAAGATTCAAACCCCAACAATTGAAGTTGTAATTGATAGCATTGTCAGTTTTAAAGGGAAAAATTATTATATCACAATATGGAGGATATCCTGTCTAGAACAGACATGTGGGGCCAGCGAATTAGATTGATTGCTGTGAACAATTTAAGTGTGTTGTTCAGTTTGATCATTTTCAATATTATAATAATACAAGAAAACTTAAAATAAGAAATTATTTAGATGGATTATGAGTTATCTAGAATTTTGGTGCTCAAGTCTTTGTGGAGTCGTAGTGAAATTTGAGCCCTACATATTTAGGAAGAAACAAAGTTCCATGTGTGTGTGTGTGGGTGTGTGAGTGTGTGTACTTATATACATGAGATGACCCAGAAACATTCATATTTATTTTTATTATTGTTATTGGTAGTGGTGGGAAGGGGAATAGTATAACGGAAATAAAAAAATCATAGTTAGTATGAAAATAAAATATAAAGCAATAGTAAGTTAAAATTGTAGTTAAGTTTTTCTACAATAAAGGACTTTGTTTATTAAATGAAGATTTATAAACTAAAAGTTTTTATAAACCCTTATGCTCCGTTTGGTAGGAAGGAAGGAAGGAAGAGGGGTGGAGGGAAGACAGGAAGGAAGAAACAAATTTCCTTTGTTTGGTAGAGAGGAGGCAAGAAGAGAAGAGAAAAGAGGATGGACGAGTTATCCTTCATCCTTCACAAATTTTCTTCCCTCCAAATATGGACAGAAGACATAAAGAAAGAAATGCAATGCTATTATAAATATTTTTCAATTACAAACTTTCCTTATATTTAGCACTTTCTCTTTCCGCCACTCCTAACAAACAAAATATAGTATTATCTCATTATCTTCACTTCCATCCAACCTGCAGGAATAGTTGACTTATTATTTTTTCTATAAATAGGCTATATAGATATGATTGTAATTCAGATCCTAATTTTTAGCTCTTAATTTAGGAGAGTAAGAAAAGTTACCTAGTTTAGCCTAACGTGGTCTACTCTTGTATGCATATATATCTGGGTAATTCTTCAACAACAAAGCAGTGTGGTTCATTCTTCACAAACTGACGTGGTATCAGAGCCTATTCAGGTTCTTTGGGAGTTTTTTTTTCCCAGCGGCCATCATTCCTGTCAGTTTTTTCACAGCTTTCATTGCCACAGTCCTTCACTGTCAATCTGTCCGATTATGTCTGAAACACCCAAACCGATTAGTTCAACCATCATGTCGTCCTCCAACAACCAGGCCTCCATTCACACTGAAAACCCAACCATGCATATCTCCACTTCCAAGTTGAATGGAAGAAACTTTATGGAGTGGTCCCAATCGGCCAAGATTTCCCTGATAAGCAAAGGGAAAATTAAGTATGTAACCGGATTTGCAAAGCCTCCAGCAGAAGATAATCCCAAGTATGAAAATTGGGAGACTGAGAATTCCATGGTGATGTCTTGGCTACTCCATTCAATGCAATCGGAGATCAGCAAGACATATCTACTCCTTGGCAAGCCAAGGATATTTGGGAAGCAGTCACATGAACCTACTCCAAGGGAGATTTTGCCTCTGAAATATTTGAACTAAAGCGGCAGATTATCAAAACACAGCAAGGTTCTTCAACTGTCACGGAGTATTATAATGTTCTTAAAGGGTTGTTGACAGAACTGGATCTCTATCAAAATGTAGAGATGGGATCAGCTGCAGATACGAAGAAGATGAAAGACATGCTGGAAAAGGAGTGGGTATTTCAGTTTTTGGTGGGCCTAAATCCTGAATTCGATCAGGCGTGTGGCCAAGTGTTGGGTAAAGATCCATTTCCCAACCTTGATGCAGCTTTCCCTCATATCCGAGGGGAAGAAAGTCGTAAGGAGCTAATGGGTGGTAATTCTGGAGGAGGTCCTACTACCGAGAGTTCAGCACTTGTAGTGTCCAAACAAGGCTATAATGCAGGAGATAGCAAGAAACCAATAGACACAGAGAAAATGTGGTGCGACTACTGCCACAAGTCTAGACACACTAGGGCAATGTGCTGGAAGTTACATGGAAACCTCAAAAACTGAAAAGTTTTGGCAGCAAAAGAGGGAATTATGCAACAAAACCAGGGCAAGCTAATCAAATCACCATGGTGGAAGAAAATCAGGAGACGTCGAGGTTCAGCAAAGCTGATATCGAAAGGCTTAGGACACTGCTGAACCAACTTGAGTACAAAAACACAACCTCAACTCCAAATTCAGGTTCTTGTTCCATGGTTCAATCAGGTACAAAAGCATTCATGTCCTCCAACAATTATTCTAACACCTGGATCATAGATTCAGGTGCTTCAGACCATATGACAAGCGATTCACTTTATTTTTTAGTTACTTACCATGCTCAGGAAAACAGAAAATAAAAGTCGCTGATGGCTCATTATCATCTGTAGCCGGTCATGGAACTGTGAAAATTTCACCCACGTTGTCCTTAAATTCAGTTCTTCATGTCCCAAACTTGAATTACAATCTGTTATCTATTGGAAAGATCACAAAGGATTTGAATTGTTCTGTTGAGTTCACACCCTCTGGTTATTATTTTCAGGACCGTTTGAGGAAGACGATTGGAAATGGTAAGCTGAGAGATGGACTTTACTACTTGGAGACCAAGTGGATGACTGATAGTCAAGGGTCTCAAGGCTTGGTTTCAGCCCACAAAACCAATTCTGATCAGATTTTCCTTTCGCACAACCGCTTAGAACAACCACCATTTCTATTGTTGAAAAAGTTGTTTCCTACTTACTTTGAAAATACTGATGTTAGTAATTTTCATTGTGAGTCATGTACTCTTGCTAAACATCATCGAGTGAATTTTCCAATAAAAGAATTGCAATTTGTCTCTTCATTTAGTTTAATTCATTTGGATGTTTGGGGTCCCTCTCATGTCACAAATATTTCGGGAACTCGCTGGTTCGTTACTTTTATAGATGATTGAACTCGAACCCCTTGGGTATACCTAATGTAATCCAAGTCCAAAGTCTCATCCATTTTCCCTGTTTTCCAAAAATTCATCAGCACTCAGTTTGGGGCCAAAATTCAAACACTCAGGTCCGATAATGGCAAGGAGTACTTCAACCAAGGATTAACAAGCTACTTGGAACGTGAGGGAATTTTGCACCATTCATCATGCGTTGACACCCCCCAGCAAAATGGGGTGGCTGAAAGGAAAAATAGGCATCTTTTGGAAGTAGCTTGTGCTTTCTTGTTCCAAATGAACGTGCCTACAAACTACTTGGGGGAAGCTCTCCTGACAGACGCGTATCTTATAAATAGGAAGCCAACAAAAGTTCTTGAATTCCAGACACCAATCAAAAAGCTCATTGCCTTATTTCCAAATTTAAGTTGGCTCTTTATCACCAAAAGTCTTCGGTTGTGTCTCATATGCACATGTCCAACAACACTTCCGAAGCAAATTGGATCATAGAGCTGTCAAGTGTATATTCTTAGGGTACTCCTCCACACAAAAGGATACAAGTGCTATCATTCCCCTACAAGGAAGACATATATCACTATGGATGTGTCATTTGTAGAAATTCAGCCTTACTATGGGAATTCCTATCTTCAGGGGGACAATGATTAAGAAATGGAAGATAGGTGGTGGAATTTGGAAAATTCAGAAACTATGGATGTTGGAGGAATGGATGGAAAGATTGTTGTAGACAAAAATAACCAAGTTGCTGAAGTTATGGAAGGTGCTGAAGAAAATGACAATGGCCCTAACCTGAGTGTTATTCCTAATTCACTTCCTAGTGAACCGGTTACTGCACCTCCAGATAGACCTCCCAGTCTCCCCACAAATGAAGAAGCAGAAGCCGAGAGACCTAAGACTCCCACTTACAACATGTACTCCAGGAGGAAAAAGTCCATTGGCTCAGCAGCTCCAATTGTCAGCCTTGAAACAGGAATGAAAATAATCCAAATACCGGTTCTAGTTCATAAATTCATTCTAATAATGAACTCAAATTGCCCATTGCTTTTAGAAAATGGGTTCGAACTCGTACTTGACACCCCATGTCTAACTTTGTATCCACGCAGAGTTTATCACCACAATACCGAACCTTTCTTTCTCAAGTTTTGCCTGCTTTAACCTCAAAACCATGGAGGGAGGCTATGAACGAGGAGATGAGAGCGCTAAAAAAAATAATAAGACCTGGGAAGTTGTTGACTTAACAGAAGGGAAAAGGACAGTGGGCTGCAAATGAATTTTTACAGTCAAATACAAAGCTGATGGCACTTTGGACAGATACAAGGCGAGGCTAGTGGCCAAAGGGTATACTCAAACGTATGGAATAGACTACCACGAGACGTTTGCACCGGTGGCGAAAATGAATACAATTAGAATTCTTCTATCTTTGGCAGCAAATAAGGATTGGCCTCTACATCAGTTTGATGTGAAGAATGCTTTCCTCCATGGAGACTTAAAAGAAGTCTTAATGGATATTCTACCGGGGTATGAGCTGAAATCGTGGAAAAATAAGGTATGCAAACTTTAAAAAATCCCTTTATAGCCTTAAGCAGTCTCCACGAGCTTGGTTTGGGAAGTTCACCAAGTCAATGTTAAAAGGGGGGTACTTTCAAAGTCAAGGTGATCACACCTTATTCATAAAAAGGAATCTGCCTTAATTGTATATGTAGACGACATTATTGTCACGGGTGATGACATTGAAGAAATGATGGCGTTGAAGATTTATTTAGCAAAAGAATTAGAGATCAAAGACCTGGGAAAACTAAGATATTTTCTTGGAATTGAAGTTGCTAGATCTAAGTAGGGGATCTTCATTTCTCAACAAAAGTACAACCAAGATCTTCTTCAAGAAACAGGTATGCTTGGCTGCAAACCCAATGATACTCTGATAGAACCCAACCACAAGTTAGGAGGAAAAAGGGAAGAAGAAATGGTTGACCGTGGAATGTACCAGAGAATGGTTGGAAAACTGATCTACTTGTCACATACAAGGCTGGACATAGCCTATGCAGTAAGTGTCATGAATCAATTTATGCATGCCCCACTTAGATTACACCTCGATGCAGTTTACAGAATCATCAGATACTTGAAAGGGACATCCGGCAAGGGGTTCTTATTTCGGAAAGATAAGGAGCTGAAATTAGAAGCATATACCGATGTTGATTGGGATGGATCCATGGTTGATAGGTGGTCAACTACTGGCTACTGTACCTTCTTAGGAGGGAATTTAGTAACGTGGAGAAGTAAGAAACAACGAGTGCTTGCTAGCTCTAGTGCAGAGGCAGAATTCACAGCTATGGCTCTAAGGATATGTCAACTAATCTGGCAGAAAAATGATACTCTCTGATTGGAAGGATTTGTGGAACTAGATAGACATTTCATCAAGGAAAAATTGGACTCGGGACAACTTTGTACTCCATACGTTCCATCCTCTAAACAGATTGCTGATGCGCTCACTAAAGGATTATTTAGCACAATTTTTCATTAGATTGTTGATAAGCATGGGATACAAAATATCTTTGCACCAGCTTGAGGGGGAGTGTTGGAATAGTTGACTTAATATTCTTTCTGTAAATAGGCTGTACAGATATGATTGAAATTTAGATCCTAATTTTTAGCTCTTAATTTAGGACAGTAAGGAGAGTTACCTAGTTAAGCCTAATGTAGGTCTACTCTTGTATGTATATATATCTGTGTAATTCTTTTATAATAAAGCAGTGTGGTTCATTCTTCACAAACTGACACAACCAAACAAAAAGAGGGAAGTACACAATTTCATCCCTAGGGATGTCTCATTCATCTCTTCTTCTCTCCTTTCTATCCAATTTTCTTCCATCATTCCAAACGGAGCATTAGAATAATTAATACTATTGTAACTTCACATTTTCTTTGACTTTTCCCTAAAAAATGGGAGCTTCCAAGAATAAGGTAAAAAGGAATTCAAATTGTGGTTTCTTTGTATACATTGAGGGGGGAAAAGAAATATATTGGGATTTAATATTCATAAGACATATAATTTATAGGACTTTCTTCAAAATGTGAATTGTGTGCTGGCAATCCTATTACTAGCAAAGCTATTTAATGCAATTGAGTATCCATGTAATGTTGCAGCGTTTCACGTTGAACATTTTAATTAAAGGGTAAATTACCTTGACCTCCCCAGTGGTATGACCTTTGCACCTATAAATGAAACTTTTGCAGCATCACTCTGACATCCTGATGCAGCGCAAATGCAAGAGGATTTTCTTCAAACAGTTGAAGATCCTAAGAAGACTAGATTGAAATTGCATTAATCGGGGAAGCATTGTTTATGGGTCGTAAATCTGTTTTTATTTTATGCTTAATGTTTGCCTTAAGCTCTAGTTAGGGTATTATTGTCATTCGGTTTTATTTTACAAGTCATGTGCCTTTTAAGTGAGTCATGTGACTATTTAAGGATTGTTTTGTCATTTTTAGCTCTTTATTCAGCTGGACAAAATACTAGCCATTGGATGACATTTATATGAAAGGTCAGGATTAAATCTTTGCTAGGGCATCCCTTATGTCTTATAAAAGGGTTGTTCCAAATTGTATTCAGTAGCCTTTTACGTATTATCAAAATATTCAATCTGCTGTAGCAGCTTTTTACCTCTCCCTTTCTTTGGGATTGAGCTGTGGGTGTTTAAGCTATTTTTTAGTTTGAATTAGCTCTCTGATTTTCCTTCTTCAGATTTATTTTCTTTCTTTCATACCTAATTGCATTAGTTGGTATCAGAGCAAGTTCTCGTCCAGTGGTTTTCATGTAGGGTTATCGGGTATCTCTTTTAGGTTTTGCGACATGCCACCAAGAAGAAGATACCCGCCTCGCAGACAAGCCGTTCAGCCTGATCAGGACGCAGCAGTTGATCAACAACAAGTGCTTGCCGTAATAGAAGATCTAAGAAGGCAGATTGAAGCTTTTGCCCTGTGCATTGCGCAAACCCCGACCCTTTCTCAAGATGGCGTCGAATCTGAGGAGGAGGACAATCTGGAAGAGGGTTTTGTTAATACTTTTTGCAGAAACGCCGCACCCAAACCAACACTTATTTTATTTAAAGAAAGATGTTGCGATGGTGACTTTAAGGAGAAAATTCCTGACTTTGAAGGATATCTTAGTGGAGAAGAAAAGCAACTTTTTATTGTGGAAGATGATGCAATCCTGGTGATCGAGCCAAACTATGATGATTACCCGGAGGAAGAGGATGACAATATCCTATATGGTGATAGGTGAATTCTTGGTTATGCAGAAGTCACTACTGATTCTGAAACACGAGGATGATAGAGTAGAGAAATTCAACAAGACAAAAGAAGAGGATGATAAGAAATTTGCTAATGAAGGTGAGCAGCATGGATTAGTTGATGATCAAGTTAATGAATCTTTCAAATTGCAAATCCAAGAGGAGGTGGAAGATTTGAGCACTAAAACAAGTTTACATAGCTTGGAAAACGTGGTGGATTATAAGGCTTTTGGATCCATGGATGTGGAAAATAATGGATTTAACTTTTATGATATGATTTGGAGTGAATTCTTGGAGTGCACTACAACTGTTAGGCATGCGTTGGAACAAAAATTAAAGTTGATTAAATTTTTATTTGAGGATACATGTTCGACTGCATTTTGCAAATCTACCCAATTTCAAAGGAAAAAGAAATCTAGCAAAATCCATGCTGATTATGAAAATGTGTTCTTTGTTAGTATTTAGAAGATTATTATGTTTAATTCAAGTTCAGAAAAGAAGAAAGAAGGGATGGAACGCCATGCTCAGATTTTTTATTCATCGTGGAAATTTGCTTCTAACTCGAGGACAAGTTTTCTCTCACCTGAAGGGACTGATGCAGTGCAAACGCAAGAGGATTTTCTTCAAACAGTTGAAGATCCTCAGAAGACTAGATTAAAATTGCATTACTAGGGGTAGCATTGTTTATGGGTCATAAATCTATTTTAATTTTATGTTTAATGTTTGCTTTACCCTGTAGTTAGGGTATTATTGTCATTTTGGTTTTATTTTATAAGTCATGTGCCTTTTAAGTGAGTCATGTGTCTGTTCAAGGACTGTTTTGTGAATTTTAACATCTTTTATTCTGCTGGACAGAATAGTAGCCATTAGATTATATTTATAAGAAGGGTTAGGATTAAATCTTTGCTAGGGCATCCCTTGGGGCTTATAAAAGGGTTGTTCCAAGTTGTAATCAGCAGCCTTTTACGTATTATCAAAATATTCAGTCTGTTGTAGCAGCTTTTTACCTCTCCCTTTCTGTGGGATTGAGTTGTAGGTGTTTTAGCTATTTTTTTAGTTTGAATTAGCTCTCTGATTTTCCTTCTTCAAATTTATTTTCTTTCTTTCATAGCTGATTGCATTACATCCCTTGTCAGAATTGGAATTCCTAACGACGTCAAATGTGAGGTGACAAAATTATCCCTTGTCAGAGGGAGTATTTCTGTTATATACGTATGTAATATTTATATCAAATCATGTAATGCATTTCCAAATTAACGGTTTGGAATTCATGAGTTTGAGCAATCTGCAACTATATATATATATATATATACACACACACACATATAGATAAGCATATATATAGAGAGAGAGAGATAGAGAGAGAGAGAGAGAGAAAGATGGTGCTGACTGCGGGGAGGGTTGGTGGTTATGAAGGTGAGAGGGAGATGAGAAGAAAGGGAGAGAGAATTGTTATTTCATCACTGTTAGTATGATGATTTTGTCATTTCATTTACATGAGGTTATTTAGGGATTTATCAATAAATTTTTTAACGGACCTAATGGTTCACGGCAAGGGAGGTCATGGTAATTTCATGCAAACCTCAAGGAAGGTTGACCACATTTTTTTCTTAAATTTTAATCCGATGGCAAGTAATTGGACGTGGTGACAAGTAGTTGGAAGCAAATGGTGCCTAACATCAGCAGCAACCTATATACGAGACAGTTGCTGCTTTGCATCAATTACCATTTCATTTCCAACAGCCAGATCAGTCCAAAGTGAGGATCAAGGTTTGTATTTAGTGTTTTGTGCCAACCACAATTATCAACAATGAAACTGTATACAATAGTACAATACTTCTTCCAGAGGGTTTATATCACCTGATCAGAAAAAATAAGCAAATGAACAAAGGAGATACTACATACCTCCATATGCAGGTAATCATCTTTCCAGAGCATGTAAAGAGTCTTTGCTGTATCTTTCTTATCAACAAATGTGGTATCTGAAATCTACAATGTAAATAAGTGAAATGAAATATCAAACATATTGCGGGTAAAAAAAAAAAGAGTAAGCAACAAAAAGTTGCACAATTTCAAACAAAAACATTATTACCATATCTGACGATCACACCCCTAAAATTTGACAATAATATACATGCTTGCATGCATACACATAACATATACATGCATACATACTAAGAAGCATGGAAACGGATACAGAACACGAATATGACACGACATGGATACGGTGACACGGCAAATCCAAAAAAATTACAACACAGACACGTTGGGTGAAATTATATTTGGACCAAATGGTCCTCTGAAAAAATCAAAGTAATTACTTAATTAATATGTAAGTCCAATATTCTCTCAGACTTAAGAGTAATTAAACTATAACATAAATAGGGTGAAATTATAATGATGGTTGTTAAAGTTAGAGGGTTTCTAGTGTTTTACTTGTTTACTTTGAGGCATTATTGTAATTTTATCATCTCAATATATATACAAGAAAGATGGTGTAGAAACCCTACAACCATCAGATTACCTTTTCTGACTTCTCCTTCTTCTCCCCTCCTTCCGCTTCTCCTCGCTAATCCAAGAAACAAATTCCCTTGGTAACAGAGCAGCGTATTGAAGTCAAGCACTAATTTTTGCCAAGTTGCAAAACATCGGAAAGGGTTGACGTCATCTAATGCACTCTGACTCGCACTGACGTCATCTGACATCATGATGACGTCAAGACTTTATGATGTCAGATGTCAAGACTTTTTTTGGTCAAAATTTGTACAAGCTTGGATCGCTTGATTTTCTGGGATTTATGGTGGTATTTGTGATTCGAGTTGAGGCTGTTTGAGTAGATTGTTCATTTTTCAGAACTTTTTGGAGTTTTGGCCCTCTTGCTTTCGACCTGGATTTTGGAGCATTTTTAGTTGTTTTTGTTGGTTGAGATTCATCACATATGTTGCGTTTGGACTAAGAAAGACCTTGATTGCTGGTTGTTTATTGATTTGCTGCATCTGGGACAACTTCTTTGGATTTAAAGGGTTCGGCTAATTCTTTTTTTCTAAAAATCTGAGTATTTTTGGAACATTCTGCCTTCTAAATTGTCTTTGGATGCTTGGGCTGCCAGAATTTGTACTTGAACTTGCCTCTAGATGCATCTTCACATTGCTTAACAGCTTTTGCACTCTGTTTTTGAGTTTCTAATCCATTTTTGGATCTGTTCCAGCATCAAGATCATCTACTGCTGCTGTTTTTTGGCTCCTAATTCTAATTTTCTGGTCTGAAATTTCTTTTTGAATCTGCTCTTAAATTTATATTGATCTAACCTTTGCCATGGCTGAGAATAAACCACAACCACCACTCAAGGATGATGATATGCCTAAGTCGATTACTTCAACAAAGTTGAACGATGTTAATTATCTTGCTTGGGCCCATGCCGTACAAATTTTTTTGCGTGGGCGTAGAAAATTGAAATACTTGACTGATGACCCCCCCGCTAACACGAAGTCTAAGCAATATGAAGATTGGCTGTGTGAGGATTCTATTGTTATGGGATGGTTATGGCATAGTATAGAACCTCGTATTGCTACTACAGTTGCATTTTGTGAGTCCTCTAAGAAAATATGAGAATCTCTTGCAGAGTCGTTCTCGAAGCAGAGCAATGTTTCTTGGGTTTATGAGTTGTACGAGCAGATTTTCATTACTAAGCAGTCCGGGAAACCATTGTCTGAGTACTACAGCAGCCTTAAAATTTTGTGAGATCAGTTATTGCAACATCGACCATTTACTACTAACTTGGAGCAACGGAAGCGTCACTGGGAGGAGTTTATGATTGCTTCATTGCTCTCCGGTTTGGACTCTGATCTTCGTGGCTTTAAAGATCAGATTCTTGCTAGTGCAAAGTTACCTACGGCTGCCAATGCATATTCTCGATTATTGAGGTCCTCTTTGGGACAAAGCTCCAGTGTAACTCTCACAGAGTCTTCTGCCTTAGTTTCTAGCAGCGGGGGTTGTGGTACTATTCATGGTGACTCTCATGGAGGTCGTGACAGCCATGGTTTTCGTGGTGGTGGTTGTTCTAGTGGACACGGAGATAGGAAATGCGATCGTTGTGGTGGTACGAATCATACCGAACCTTATTGTTGGGCAAAGTATGGTAAGGCAGATTATGTTCATCAGGCTATCGATGGTACTTCATAGTCACAACCTCGTAGCGGTTCTGAACATGTAGCTTCATATTCTAGTTCTCGTGATACACTCACCACTCAACTTAGCAAGCTTATTCAAATGTTACAAACTACTTTTCCATCCACTTCCACTACTACCTTAGCCAATTCAAGTAATGTTGCATGTGTGGCCAAGTCATCTCCGTCTTAGGTCATTGACCCTGGAGCGAGTTCAAATATGTCTAGTGTGTCATCTACTCATCTCTTTTTCCTGATTTGAAATCTGTTAACCACCACATTGTTTTAACTGATGGCTCTTCTCGTACTGTCCTTGGAAAAGGTGTTCTTCACCCTACCAATTCGTTATATTTATCTTCCAGTCTCTATGTTCCTAATTTTCCTTTTAATTTGCTTTCTGTAAACCAATTGACTAAAGCATTACATTGTTCCATAACATTTCTCCAATATCATGTGTTTTTCAGGACCTCAGGACGAAAAAGATGATTGGTTCGGGGAATGAGAACTGATAAGGACGAGCTTTATTATCTGGATCCCGGTGAATCGATGGTTATTGATGTTCCTTCTCCTATGCTTGTGCATTGTGATAATCAAGCAGCTATCTACATTGATCTAGCAATCCTTTATTCATGAGCATACCAAGCATATACAGGTTGATTGTCATTTATTCACGACCTGCTGATCTGGAAACAGATTGTTACTCTTTATATTTGCTCAAGTGATCATCTGGGTGATATTCTTACGAAGCCGTTAGCTCGTGGTGCCTTTCAGCGGTTGTGTTTCAAGCTGGGCATGTTTAATATGTATACTCCAGCTTGAGAGGGAGTGTTAGAGTTGAGGGTTTTTAGTGATTTACTTGTTTACTTTGGGGCATTATTGTAATTTTTTTATCTCAATATATATATATATATGTATAAGAAAGGTGGTGTAGAAACCCTACAACCATCAGATTACGTTCTCTGACTTCTCTTTCTTCTCCTTCTTCTTCCACTTCTCCTCGCTAATCCTAAACACAACTTCCCTTCACAAGCTCTAACTACGGCTATCATAATTTCAAGAATTTATTCTCTATCCATTTCAATGTGTCCTACTGGGACTGCAAATAAACCGAGCTGTTCATGAACAGCTCGGGTTTGGCTCGTTAAAAGCTCGGCTCGGGCTCGTTCGTGAAGTAAACGACCCGAGCTTGAACAAATTTTCCAGGCTCGTTTAGTAAACGAGCCGAGCTTGAGCAATGTTGAGCTCAGCTCGTTAGGCTCGTGAGCAGGCTCGTTCAGGAAATGGTCCAATTTTTTAAAAATAATTTATACATCTGATTAGCCCATTTAACATAAATCCAGTCCAAACTTATGCACCTTCATAAGCCCAACTTCATTTAATTAAACTTTAGCCCAACTTCATTTAATTAACCTTAAGCCCAACTCAAATTAACCTAACAGACATCATCACATACATGTGACATGTCTTTGTATCAGCCGTTGGATTGCTTCATTACATTATTTACATTTGTGAAGAAGCCCTAATCATTTGTAGCCACAGCAGATTGCATCATTCCTTTCAAGTTTCAACACAGCAAGTTCAGCAATGCTTCTTCCTTTCTTGCTCGCCAGCGATTTCTCCTAGATCTCTGAAATATATGTGATGAAACTCACTAATTATATACGGCAACAACAGACCTTGCAACATCACTCCTCTAATCCCTTTTAAGTTTCAACACATCTTTGCTTCCTCTCTCGCTCGTCCGCGGCGGTCTCCAGCACATTTCTCTGATGAAGTCTCAATCCCATTTTACCGTTGGTGGGATTTGTGAGAGAGGATCAGAGAACAGAGATCTATGTTCTTCATCATCTGATACGTTGTTGATAGGTCAATTGATGTAATGCTTTCTTCTTCTTCTTCTTCTTCTTCTTCTTCTTCTTCTTCTTCTTTTTTTTTTTTTCTGTTGAAGGCGAGCTCGAGCCCAAGCTCTTCAAAATGCTGGCGAGCCGAGCCCGAGCCCTGTTTCATCAGGCTTGCTCGAGCCCGAGCCCGAGCCGAGCCCAAGCACTCCCCTAACATTGGCGAGCCGAGCCCGAACAAGGCAAAGCTCGGCTCGGCTCATTTGCAGCCCTATGTCCTACACATCAATATGTACAAGCACTATTATTTATAATCACTGAGATAATCAATAAATAAATACTTCCCCATTACACCTTATCATAATACAGTGACCAACTCATTATTCAAGGGTGCAAACCAACTCTTTTATCACAAACTAAAATTTATATCTCCTATGCATTTAGTTAGCTCCATCGTGCATGCACATAAATCATTTAATATTTGTCAAAGAGACTTAACTCTTACTCTTGAGTCAATCAATACAAGCATTCACCATATATGTACATAAACATGCAAATTATAAAATCAGACATCTACTAATTAAATATGTCGAATACATTCAGTTATTGGCTTAAAGGGCACAACCATTCCCAACATTTGCACCCAACTTTATGCCGTATGACAAAAATATCAAAAAACTAGATTATTTCATTTTCAATTAACAAAGCAACCAATGGTCAGAATGAATATTAAATAAAGTGGTCCACTTATTGTATCAATCTTAGGGGGAAAAAAATGGTCAATATATGCATTTAAGTACAATGGCAACCAACATGATTATTTCTGGATCGCCTCTGAATTTACTCCAAGCAAATTTATCAATAATAATTTGTTACCTTATCAGTTTCAAGTAGGTGACCAGCCTTTGACAATAACCTGAACATCCTGTAAGCCTCCCTCCCATATCTTTTCAACACTATTGATTCCACCTGCAGCATGGAAGAAATAGTTTGGCTTTTATCTAGACTAATGAGAGAGGAAGTTAACTTCACCACATATCTGGACCAAAAAAAAGAGAGAGAGGGACCTCCTCGTTTTGAGCCAGTTCGATAATGCTCTTCAAATCTGTGCAAGAAATATATTTATGTGCATGTCAATTAAATATTTCCAAAAACCTCGTTAAGGTTCATACTCATTTTAATCCACATAAAAATTTCTCAGACAAAAATACACTAGGAGAGAGAAGACAATACGATACCAATACTATATGTCTCATCTAGGGGATGGCATCCCAACTGGACAAGGGAAACTCTGACGAGTTCTAAGGTCATGGTACGACCATCTATACTCTTTATTACCTCTTCATAAATAGCATCCATGGACAGGGGAACTGCAAATCATGGTATAAGTACTTAATTAGCAAGAAATGAGAAATGGTGTACACCCCTGTGAATCAAGCTATCTTTCTTATTTATCATATTCAACATAATCTTAACCTTTCAAAACATGATAAGCAAATAAAAACAACTTACTAGGGCAACTAATTAAGAGAAAGAAACTGCATGAAAGAAAAAGAGAGAAATTTTACGAATGCCACTACTCATGCGTCGTTCACAATGATGCCTTTGGGTTATAGCTTCTAGGCTTTGTTGCAGGATGTGGGGGAAGAAGTCCTATTATAGAATGATTCAAAGCTTCCATTTTTCTGTAAACTTTAGTTGTATGACAATCTACACTTTTTAAACATTCGTCATATACAAAAGAAGACACAAAATGTTACCAATCTCATTGTTTCGTATACGTGCATTGACACAAAAGCATGCCACACGAAGAAGCTACTAAACAATGGAGCCCTTACTTTCATATTCACAGGTATAATTGGCATAGGAAGGGTTGGGGTATTCTCAAACCAACCAAGACCCAAACTCAACTCAATAGAGACTAGGTGGCTGCTAGAGGAGTGGGCTAACCGGGTGCATTTCTGTGATGTTTGTGGCCCGAATTTGGTGCCGGGTCGCGTTGATGAGCTTTGTCTGGGCCCAAGCTTTGGGGGTTTGGGGCTTGGCCCCGAGGAAATTCTTTTGACCCATTTTTGCTTGTGGTCGTGGACCCTAATTAGTACTCTCTTGTAACCTGATATATAAGGGCGCTTAAGGTTTGGAGTGTAAAATTGAGAGACGCTGAAAACGTACAAAAAGAGAGTGGGGCTGAAACTTGGAAGTCTTTAGCCGGATCTCCACCGTGGACATAGGATTTGCCGAACCACGTATAAATCTTTATGTTGTATGTGTGGTGTGTTTAATTTTTTGTCGTGTTACGTGATTGTTGCTTGGGTTCGCTGGGTTTGTCGTAACAATTTCCATCTCTACTCATAAATTTAAATTTCAATTCTTGGATTATACAAAATGCTGAAAGATAAAAAAATTGAAAAGAGAAATTAAAACATGAAAAACACAACACACAAAGCCCAAAGGACTACATCACTTTTGTTATATTCTCTCTTAATATTGTTTACAATCAGCACCTCTATTTATAGGTGAATCGAGGAAGACTTGTAGCTAGAGAATATAAATTTCTAGCCCTACAAGTATTTTATAATAAAGGAATTACACAGAAAGTCAAATACATATACAGCAACAACTTGTTACCCAAGTATAGCAACTTTAACATTCTGTCAACGCTTAAATCACTCCTATAATTATTCTCCAACACAAAATAAACTGCTTAACCATCTACTTAAAATGTACTACCACAAAGGACACAAATTAGAGGTTAAAGCAATTAAGCAATATTAGGAGAGAGATGATTACTTGAATTTTCCGTCTTCACTTTAGTCTCTTTACTTCTGGTTGCCTCCAGCATTGCACTTAAAACAATGCCAGCTCCATCATCAAGCCGTGTTCTCACATTTTCAATGCAAGCCTAAAACATAAACATAAATTATGCATAGCACATTGTAATGGTAGAAAATCAATCTCATAATCAAATATGACATCATTTATTGCATGTGGTGTTAGATATAAAACCCACATCCTATTCAGGGAGCGTAATTAAATTTTATATCTCAAGAAGAAGATTTATTCAATGGAAAAACTATTTATAGGGGGGCAAAATGGGATAATCTAAAAACATGACCAGATGTGCCTTTGAGTATATATGCATATATGTGCATAAGTATGTATGTGGTGTGTGTGTGTGTGAGTGTGTGAGAGAGAGAGAGAGAGGTGACACTAAAGCAGAAAAATATCCAAATTCCACAGATAAATCTTAGAAGAGGTCCTTTTTCCACCTACTGATGGCAAGACAACTAAATTTTTTTTTTTTTTTTAAAGTAATAATTGAATTAAAAAGGTTATACAAAAGTGGAACCGGGGTTTAAGGCCCCAAAGAAGCCAAAAAAATAATTAAATCTTTGGAAGAGGAACACAACTTTTTTTTTTTTTCCTATTTGGGTACACACACATGCCCCCACGGAAGCTTGAACCTCTAACCTCTCTTTGAAAAGTAGGGGTTTGGTACCGCTAGGCCACTGGCTGGTTGGTAAGAGGAACACGACTTCCTTTTCACATAAACTGAAAAGAGAGCGTATGATATGGAGTTTCAGAATCGCCGTGGACGATTCTTTCCCTTCGAACATTCTACTATTCCTCTCATTCCAAATGCACCACCAGACACAATGTGGTACAACTCTCCAATAATCGCGAACAGCACTACGCACGGGACATCCTCTCCAAATACAAATCAAATCCTTAGGATAACGAGGCATAACCCAACGCAAACCAAACAGACAAAAAATAAGATTGCAACAATCCCTCGCCACAGGATAATGCATGAGAATATGAGCAACTGACTCACCATCTTGTTTGCAAAGGCAACACCAGTTAACAAGACAGTTACCCTTTTTCCTTAGATTATCAATCGTCAGGATCTTACCCCATGCAGCGATCCAAACAAAGAATGCCACCCTAGTTGGAGCCACAAAGCGCCAGATAGTCTTCCACGGAAAATCAACGATATCAAAATCAGAAAGACATAAGAATAAGGATTGAATTTTGAAGCGACCATGGGAAGAGGGAATCCATGTCATATCATCACAACCTTTGCCAACTGTCTCCTGTCGATACAACAGATCCAGAAAAACAAATACCTCGTCCACCTCCCAATCCTGAAAAGAGCGTCGAAATTGCACGTCCCACGTAATCCCATTACTATCAAGCCGATAACAGTCTGCTATGTAGGCATGTCTATCAACTGCAATACTGTATAATCTGGGGAATAAACAAGATAAAGGTCGGTCTCCACACCAAAGATCCTCCCAAAAGCGTACACACCTGCCATCACGAACTTTGAATCTGATATGAGTGGAAAAAGCATCCCATCCCTTCCGAATGAATTTCCACGCTCCTACTCCTCCCACAACAGAGACCAGACGTGTAGACCAACCACCACTCTCTTCCCCATATGGGCATGAAACAAGCCTTCGCCAAAGGCGATGTCTTTCCCTCCCGTACCTCCACATCCATTTTCCCAAAAGAGCTTGGTTAACGGGGACTAGTCTTCTGATACCAAGATCACCAAACTTCATTGGCCTGCAAACTTGTTCCCAATTGACAAGGTGATACTTAAATTCTTCTCCTCTTCCGCCCCAAAGGAAATCCCTTTGAATTTTTTCAATCTTAGCAGCAATAAAGCATGGAATTTGGAACATAGACAAAAAATATGTGAGAAGGCTCGATAAAGTGCTCTTTATAAGAGTTACCCCCCCCCCCCCCCCCCCCAAGACAAGTATTGCTTTTTCCATCCTGCCAATCTCTTCGCATACCTATCGATCACAGGGTCCCAACTCCCCACCGTTCTAGAGGAAACCCCTAAAGGCAAACCTAAATACGGAATTGGAAAAGAACTCACCCTACACCCATGGGCTGCCGCTAAAGATGAGATATCCTGAACATCTCCAACCGGAACAAGCACATTTTTAGCGACATTAACCTTCAGACCTGAGACAGCCTGAAAACAGGCCAAGATACACCTCAAATATCTAAGCTAAGACACATCAGCATCACAAAAAGTCAGGGTATCATCCGCATAAAGTAATTGAGAGACCTCCGTCTGATGGTCATGATCTCTTCCCACTATAAAGCCCTTAATTAGATCAAGATCTTCTGCCCTTCGCATAAGTCGGCTTAATCCCTCCATAACAATAAGAAAAAGGAAAGATAACAAGGGATCTCCTTGTCTTAAACCCCGAGAACACCCAAAGAAACCAGCAGGAGACCCGTTCACGAGAACAGAGAACTTGACAGACGAAAGGCATGTCTCTATCCATTTCCTCCATTTACTTCCAAACCCCATTCTCTGAAGCAAATAAAGCAAGAAATTCCAATTCATATGATCATACGTTTTCTCAATGTCAAGTTTGCATAAGACTCCGGGAACACCACTTCTCAATTTAGAGTCCACACATTCGCCTGCAATAAGGACTGAACCAAGAATTTGCCGTCCTCCAACTAAAGCATTATGGGAGTCCGATATAATCCCATCCATCACTCCCCTTATCCTAATAGCAACTAAAGCTTTTGGCTAGCCAAAAGCTTGTAGATACAACCCACTAAGCTGATGGGACGGAAGTCTTCAATATCATAAGCACCTCCCTTCTTAGGGATAAGAGCAATGAAAGTTGCATTTAGCAACTTTTCAAAGGCACCAGTAGAATAAAACTCCTGAAAAGTTCCCATCACATCGTTTTTCATGACCGCCCAACTTTCCATAAGAAACCACATAGTGAACCCATCTGGCCCCGGAGCTTTGTCCCCGTTACAACTTGATAAAGCCTTTAGAACTTCTTCTTCAATGAAGGGAATCTCAAGCCCCTCCCTATCGATCTCAGAAAGAGCCTCAAAATGAAGACCATCAAGTTTAGGTCTCTAAGCTAGCGGCTCAGTATAAAGCTTCTAATAAAAAGAAGAAATCCCATTTCGCACATCTTCCTCCCTCCACATCTCTACACCTTCCACCCGAATACGTCCTATATGATTATATGCAGACCTAGACATCTTAACATAACACTGCCAGAAAGAGAACAGTCAAGTAAAATACTTCAAATACTACAAAATAGCAACTTCTAAGAAGCTGCAATTGTGCATATGTACAATTTCTAAGAGGCCATAATTATGCATACAGAGCAATTTGTTTCCATGGCATCATCTAAAGGAAGATAAACTGCTACTAAAAATGAAAAATCTCTCTTAAACCTCATGTTATTTAGGCTGAATGTCAGAAAACTCATATACCTGTCTTTTTTCCTTTTCTATTTTTATTTTGGGAATTCTAGACCAAGCTTATGACAAACAGAATCTACAGGGCTGAAATCAAACTTGTGCAAGTTGGGCGTTGGTAGCCAGTTCAAGGAAGTGGAGCAAAGTGATTCCAAGAGAAGCCTTTATACAAAGTAGAGAAACCCAAAGAAAGGCGCAATGGCTCGTAGTAGAGGCAATGGAAAAAACTGGTGCATCTATTAGTATAGGATTCTTTTTGGTGCATCACATTAATTCTTTTTTTTTTTTTTTTTTTTTTTTTTTTTTTTTTTTTTTTCTCTAGGCATTTTTCTAATTCTAACTTTGTTATACAACTACAATCCAGATCTTTAAAATTTTATGACAACAGGAAAAAGAAAAAATCAACCCTAATAATAATCAAGGTATCCACGGTAGCAATTGTTCAAGCTATCTTCTAGCCCAAGAAAATAATAATAATAATAATAATAATAATAATAATAATAATAGATAAATAAAAAGGAAAGGACACTATAACTTCACTTTTTCCCAGTATTGATGAACCACTAAATCCTCTCAAAAGGTAATTAAAATGACTTACTTAACAGAGATATTATTCTTACATTTCCCCTCCTAATGAAATCATCATTTCTTTATCTTATCTATTTTTGGTCCTCATAAGTTCTAGCTATAAGTTGTTATCACATTAAATACAATTATAGTTGGTAATCCCAAAGTATATAACAGCTCAAAAATTTTAGGGCCAGCGTTTGTTGTCAGGGGCTTATTTGTTATCACTTATATAATGTTGGGGCTTATGTGTAATTTTTGAAACTTATTATTATAAATATAATGTGGTGGAAGGATGAAAGTATTCTTTCATTCTTTCTCTCTTTCCCCATCTATCTCTCTTTTTCTCTCATCCTCTTTCTTCTCTTTTTCTTCTTATACTTTACTCTTTGATTTGATTGTCTCTTAAAGTCAACAGTGTTCTACCGAGTAATTAAGCCAAGGGACTTCTGACTAGGAAGAACAATCTATCGACTTTGTGAGACATGCACAGTTTTACGCCTAAGTTTCATTGAACGGAGATGGATTTACTTGGAGTATTTTGGGGACCGTAGATGCTAAGTTGAATGGAAACATATGATTTATGTAGCGGACCCCAAGTAGTTGGGAAAAGGCTTGGTGGTGGATGTTAGATGCTAAGTTGACTTGCAAAAGTGATTATTGTAATTCAAAGATATTGTGGTTAATAAATAATTGAGCATTATGATCAACACTTCGAGTTTGTCCTGAAATGGTGTGAAATGAGTACAAATAATATTATTTTGCCAAAGTTTTACACACAGAAGGACTAGTTTAAAAAAGGTGGCAGAAAGATGTGATTCTTTCAAAAAAAAAGAAAAAGAAAAAGAAGTTCAAACAATAGAAAATATAATGATATATAACATACGGTAATCCATGTATATATGAACAGCATAAGTCATCCCAGAGTATTAAATGTAAATTGTTTCCCTCAAAAGTCCACAACTGCTGAAAACGGAGATTTCTATAAAAGGATCAAGACCTTATTTTTAATCCATCACACAAACTCAATCCTAGAATCCCCAACCTTTCGTCTAATAAAAAAGTTAAAAAATAATAATAAATACACAAGAAAAAGGCACAATCCGAGAATTCGAGAAGTATACAGGACAATGACAATAAAGACTAAAAAGCTACTATAGGCTAAAGCCCCCAAACTGCTACTCAAAAATCAAAGCAACCAAAAACTCAATGAAGGAATCAACTTAGAATTTACACACCCCAACTAAAAGCAGTCAAAAAAAGAGGAACTCAAAAACCCATAATAAGCGACCTTCAGAAGACACGATATAGGGTAAAATGGACCTTTCATGTCAGACTGCCACTCAGGTAACCTCTTTGCCAGCATCCCCGTGATTCAACAACCCATCCTCAAGGAACCCACAAATAAGAGCAAAATCAGATTCCGCTTATCCCAAGAAACAACATAGCACACCAGAAGATGGCCCACTGTTACTCTGTTCTTTTATACATGCAATAACAATTTGAGGACATCTTCCCCCTTAGCACCAGACTACCAATGGTCAAGATTTTCTATAAGCAGTTATTTAAGTAGAGAAAACAACCTTAAAAACTACTTCAGTACTCTAAGTACCTTTTCCTAAGAAAAGGAGCTTCAGTTCCAGGTAACACCTAAGATATTTAGAAGCATTACATCTCAAACTAACCTTCCTATAGTCCTACCTCCCTAGTATATTGATCTCAATCAACTAGTCAAAAAAATGAATCCAACACCTGTATTACCAGCCCTAAACAGGCCTAGTGAAACAAGATTCCATACCACCCATTTTGTCATAAATACTAGTATGACTAGCCATAAAGTGCATTCTTCTTAACTACAATGCCAGATATCCGAAAATACATTACTGACAGCCATATCCTCAAACCAAAAATCGCACCATCTGTTCGTCTGCCACATTGTACAATAAAACCACACCATCTGTTCGTCTGCCACATTGTACAATGTGCCCAAAACTACTCTAGACCCTATTTTTATCCCTTCCCAACACTTTCTTATCCCTTTCCACAGACCCACCCATGCAAGCCTAACATCTGAGACCCACTCTCCTCTGGTATACTTTCCAGGCACTATCCTCCTCCGCAGACTACTCTGTCCAAGGTGTACCTTCATAACCACTAACCAACAAGCCTCCAAAATCATATCAACCTTCTCATATCTCCAGAGGAATGAATTTTTTGTACTTTAATTGTTCTGTTGGATTTTCCATCACTTCTCTCCCTGAATGAATTCCATTGTAGCAAATGACGCCAAAACTTTCTGTCAAATTTCTATTTCTACTTCGAAACACCTTTAACTTTATATGATTAAATTTCCTTAGAATCAATATATTGCCCAATACAAGGAAAAAAAATAAAAATAAAAATAAATAAAGACAAGTTTGATAAGTATTGCCCAATAAAAGAAATTTGAAAGTAACGCATGGTGAACATCTTTAAGGAAAGACTCAACACAATTGTTGATATATTATAATTTATTGATCACTAAAATAAGACAACATTTATGTGGAAATCAACTTTTTACATTATGGTCAAAGTATAGAAACTTTATCATGAAAAATAATACTCTCATTTTTTTTCTTGTACAGATAGAAGTTTGACAATCAGTGGGAGAACCAACCTTATGCCTAAGGCGCCGCATAAATTCTTCAAAATTGGGTCGCCAAAGAACTTCTTTCTTTGTCTTTTCAGCCCCATCTATCGCATCTGACTCTAAATCACCCCGCTTGCGCTACAAAATGAGAAGTTGCAAATAAGCACATAATTGAACCAAGTAAATTCAAATAGAAATCACACACCAACCTTCTCCCCAACTGGCACGCTAGTGGGGTGTTCTTTGCTATTTTCTTCATCAACATCAATCTCATTATATGTTTCAACTAAAAATCTTTGTGATTCCATAGGAGCTGCTTCAGATAAAGCTCGTTCCTCTAAAGTCTTTGATTCTTCTGCCATCTGTATCCATGTGTATATCAAAAGATTAGATTTTTTTTTTTTTTTAATTAGTATCAAAAAATTCAGAATTTAAATGATTCAAACTTATCAGCAACAAGAGGTACATGAAGCATTTTCAATAAGCTATGAATCAAATATATTTATAAAAAAAAAAAATGCTGAGTCCAATTTAAAAAGAAAAAAGGATCATAATTTACTGATATTCTTTACCGCAAAACTTAAAAAGAAAAAGTGACATCCATAGGCCCAGGATGTGGGGTTGTTTTGTACCCAAGACCACCAGCCCATCGCTCACAGAAGGATCCCTTAACCATTGCAAATAAAAGAAATGGCCATATTCATTTATGTTAACTTCCTCAAAATTATCTTAGACGACATTACAAGCCAATTTTCAATCACTCAATTCTGATGCAATACTGAAACAATTTCTACAGCTGTCAAGACTCAAGACTGACTAGACTCCAACCTTGTCAATTTCATAAAAGAGCAATTCTACTGTCCCAAAATGAATAAAAAGAGAACAAATAAAAATTGTGAGGGCAAAGCAAATCAATAACCACGATTGTATAAATAACTAACCAGTTTTTTGCTTCTATACCAAAAAGAAAATAAAACAGAAAAGAAAGACGAAGAAGTTATCAGCTCATGTACTTGATTGTAAATCAATTACCTTATCAGCCTTTGAAACTTTCTTCTTCACAGAAGTTTCTTCTTCATCTGGTGGTGCAACGTTTGGTTCATGAGCTGGGCAGCGTTCCACATACCGGGCATTAACAAGTTTATTAAAATTTTCCTTTACAGCATCCTGAGCCGTACAATTTCCTGTGTAAAAAGAAATAAAAAATTAACATAAAAACTAAAAAAAAATTGGAGTGGAAGTAAATACTAAAGCACAACGAAATTCTTTTCTAGGTTCTTATATTCCGCACTGGGTGGAAAGGGGGAAATCATCAGTCCTACACAAAATTTAGAAGTTCATTGGACTATTTTAAAATAGATGACAATTACAGAATATTAATATTGAGCGTCTTCACCAAGGGCCAGGAAAATGGCCTTTGAATAATCCATATTCTGCATCTTTCAAGCTAAACTCACAAGTCATCTTGCAAAGAAGACATATTCATCAAGAGAAAGAATTATCCAAACTACAGAGGAAGGCCTCTGATACCTTCTCTAAAAACCCAAAATCTACACTGCAAAACAGACAATGAATTTTACGTTGACCAATCAAAAGAACAATGGCAAAACAAATGGTTGATATTCTCATGATGAGACTCATTATTTGTCATTTGCTAACACAGTTGTGCTGATAAAGATAAACTTAAACAGATGCTCTCCAAGAGTACAACCCATACAAAGCTTTACACAAATGGATGGACCGGGGTAAATCAGATACCGCAATAAAAACATAAAAAGGATTTCACTGAGAAGAAAGCTTCTCTGTACTTCCAAGCTCAAGAATCTTCCTTCTAAGAGTTTCTATTTTAGGAGGGGGGGGGGGGGGGGGGGGGGGGGGGGGGGGGGTGTGGTGGGCACTTAAAGAAATCAATGTTTTCCCTTTTACTACCATCTTAAGATTTATCCATAGAATTCATGCACATCACCTTATACAACTTTGAAGAGACCATTGGTGTTCAAACAAAGTAACAATTATAAACTTCACAACATTTGGTAATCAGAACTTTTCAATCCAAATGAGTTCTATGTTTTCGCTCACTATAATTAGGGAAACTACAATGACCTCCATTGAGGTTTGGCCTAATTGCAAATAAACCGAAAGTTTGCCTTTTTTTCCAAAGACCACCCTATGTGAGAATTTTCTGTGAATTTACTTATCTACCCTCATTATTATATTGTTAAAAATGATCAAAATACCTGAGAATGTCAAATGACTATTTTGCCCCCTATACTTACAACCACATAATTGTTACGTATACATCTTGGTCAAATTTGTCATCTGCAGAAGCCCGCGCGCAGGGGTTTCCGAGCGGGGTCGCTCATCCGCTTGAAGAACTGGCAAGATATGTAACTTCGGATCTTTGGTGAGACTTGGGCAACTGGATTGGCGGTGGTGGATTGATCAGTGGTACTGATTTTTGTACATAGGGGAGGTCTATGAAAAATCGGATCAAACCTCACAGGGACGCGCTGCAAAAAAAATGTAATATTTTCATCTACTTGCAATTAGGCAAAAACTCAGGGGAGGTCATTGTAGTTTTCCCAAATTATTAAGTGGGCTTGCGCTTTGCAGTCGCTTGTTTTATTTGGTGTAGAAACCAAAGACTTCTTCTAGTGGCTTTGCAGTCTCGTCTTATTGGTGTATTTGACTTCTTCTATACTTTATCTTAATGCAAGTCACGTGTTTTATTAGCCACGTGATTGTTTGCTCTCCATTAAAAAAAAAGGCGTGAAATTAGTTTGTAAGACTCTTCCATTGCCCACTGGGTTTTCCAACTAGCTTCTCTCTCTAAAGAAATACTACAATATTTTCTTATTACTTTCTTCTACAACTCTGTTTGGAGAGGCCCTTGATGGTGATTCTTCTTTCTCAGGTGAAAGCAACTCAAATTTGTCTCTGGTAAGAGTTCTGATTCTTGAAATATTTTCCTCCTCTAAAAATTAACATAACCCTAACTCCTATTTTTTCTGAAAAAATTTCCTGCTCTATTTTGAGATTTTTCTCCTTTAAAAATTCTCATTTAATCAATGTCTAGTTTTATTTGACGTTTAATGGGCATGAATTATCATTGTTGTGATTTAGTGCATGCATACATAATTTGGTACCAATAACACAACTACATTCCAAAGCTGTATGCGTATGTGATAATATTTTAAGCTAATGCTTTTTTTGTACAAAACATTCATATTTTTCAACAGGACCTGACTTATTTCATGCCCACTGAATCAAAATTTGTTATCTATAAGAACCATCTGAAACTCCGACTTCAACATCTTTTTTAACTTGACAAAAAATGCCACTATTATTTTCCAAATTTTCTTAGCAGTTATCTATCATCTCTTACACCTAAATAGGTACCCAAAAGTATTGATTTTAGATATTATCTTTGAATTGGTCAGGCTGTAGAAATGTTATAAGCCCAAATAGTCTTTCCTTAAATAAATAAATAATATATATATATATATATATATATTAAATAAACTATAATTAGGCTGTGTAGGTAGTGAGTGTCTGTGCAATATCTCTATATATTTATTTATGTTTGTGACTGTCTGTGCAATTAATTTGTAGCATTTTATGTTTTAAAAATTCTGTCCTCCTTGACATGATACTGAAAGGAATTTCATTTTTCCTTTATTTTTTAATGTTCATCTACTTATTTGTGATTGATTTTGAGGGATTTGGTTTCGGTTTGTTTTATTGTTTCAAGAAAATTTTTTGTGTGAATATTTTAGGCTTTGAAAGGTTGTTTATATTTTTTTTCTTCTTTTCTTTTTTTTTTTTTTTTTTTTCCTATTATATTAGGTAAACATGGGTCTAAATATATATTTTTTTATAAGTAAACATATATTAACAAAGGCGCTCAAAGGGGAGCGAACCCTTAACAAAGCAAACAAAAAGCGCCATTACAACGATAAGTTGTCAACAAAATCCAAAAAACTGTCCAAAGATGAACAATTTTTCCCAATAACCCAAAAATAAAGAGAATGCAAAATATTCGACTTAATAACCCGCGCCAGCGACTCCTTTCCATCTAAGAAACACGGACACGGATACGGGACACGGATATGACACGACACCGACACGGCGATACGGCAAATCCAAAAAAATTAAGACACGGACACAGCGAATAGTGTGTGTGTGTGTGTGTGTGTGTGTGTGTGTGTGTGTGTGTATATATATATGATGTAGTACTTTAAAAATTACTGAGTGTTACTATTTTTCATCAACCTCACAATGAAAAAAAAACACAAATCATAACTCATAACTAATAAACTATAAAAGAACAATGTTGCAGAATTATAAAACCAAATAAAAAATAAGACATTAGAATAATAACTAGTATCATTTAATCATCATTGCAACTTTACTCCAAATACAAAAGCATAGACAGAAAGGACTATTAACATTCATGACTTTACTGTTAACACTTAACATTCACAAAAACCTAAAGGCTAGTCCCCAAAAAAGGTATAAAAACAAGTCAGTGTACTATCATCTATTCCCATCCATCATTTGACCTAGGACTTTTACCATTTACAATACCAAAAGGGTAGTACAAAACAAAAAAAAAAAAAAAAAAGATCATATAAGCATTCAAAAAAAAAAAAAAAAAATTCTAGAAGTGTCCATGCCGTGTCCGCGGAGTGTCCGTGCCGTGTCCGAGCCGTGTCCGTACCATGTCCGAAAATTCAAAAAAAATAAAAAATTCCAGACACGTTTTTTCGTGTGTCCGACACGCGTCGGGGTGTGTCCGACGCGTGTCCGTGTCCGACACGTGTCGAACACGGATTCTTCACCCATTTTGGAGTGTCCGTGCTTCCTAGCTTTCTATCAAAAGATCTCCTATTCCGCTCGTGCCACAACCCCCCACCATACACAAAGAGGGGCTACCCTCCAAGCTTTTCTAACACGGCTGCCCACTGGTCTCCCTCTCCAAGCCTCTAACATATCCATCGTGGTCCTTGACACAACCCAATCTACCCCAAAAACATTCAGGACCATACTCCAAACATCTGCTGCCAATTTGCAGTGCAACAAGAGATGGTTAACCGATTCACCCATCTTCTTACACATGCAACACCAATTAACTATAATTTGGCGTCTTCTTCTAAGATTATCGAGAGTAAGAATGCTGCCAAACATGGGTCTAAATATTGATTTGAATTTAACCCATGACGAATGTGACAATGAGAGTTCCATGTGAAAGTGAAAATATCATAGATAGTAAAAAAGATAAGGAAATGGAACAAGAATTGGAACCTTACAGTAGTATGGAATTTGATTCACACCAAGCAGCATATTCATTTTACCTAAAGTATGCAAAGCCTATTGGGTTTGGTGCCTCAACAAAAGCTAGCCGCAGGTCAAAAGCAATTGGAGAATTTATTGATGTAAAGTTTGCATGTACAAGGCATGGGTTTATAGGAGAGGCTGGTGCTTTTAATCCACGACCTTGTCTGAAGATTGATTGTAAAGCACTTTACATATATAGAGAAGACAAGATGGAAAATGGTTTGTTCATGATTTCATCAATGAACATAACGATGAACTTTTTCCTAACCATACACACTATTTGTCATGTCATAAGAGCATCACTCCTACTATCAAACATAGCATTGATAATTTGCATGTAGTTAGGGTGAAGATAAGTAAGATTTTTGCGGCAATGGCCAAACAAAATGGTGGGTATGAAAACATTGATTTTTTGGAAAAGGACATTAGAAACTATTTTGATGAGGAAAGACATTTAGAGTTAGCATCAAAAGATGCTCAAGCAATGTTGGAACATTTTATGCATATGCAAGAAGAGAAAGCTAATTTTTTTATGCATTGGATTTAGATGAAGAACAACATTTAAGAAATGTTTTATGGGTTGATGCAAAAGGACGAGAAGATTATAAGATTTTTGGAGATGTTTCTTTTGATACTACATACATCACAAATAAATACAAAATGTCATTTGCTCCATTTGTTGGTGTGAATAATCACTTCCAATCTACACTTCTTGGATGTGCATTGCTTGTAAATGAGACTACATTAACATTTATTTGGGTAATGCAAACATGGATTAAAGCAATGGGTGGAAAATCTCCAACTGCTATACTAACTGACCAAGACAAGGCTATGAAAGCAGCCATTT